AGAGCTTGACAGAGGAACAAACTACTCACATGGTGAACTTCTAAAGAAGCAATATCATTTGACTATTTTCCAAGCTCATCCTTATTAACATAATCATCTGCATTCCCTCGAGCTCAAAGCTCAGTTGTTTCCATGTGAGGGGCATTTTCCTTCACAGTACATTAACCTCATATTCAGATACAGTGGAGGTGACTAAACATTAGCACTAGGAAAGACCACCTCACAATGAGTGTGACACACACAGCCAAAACACTGAGCTTCACAGACTCAGTTTGAACTGTGTTTTGTGTGTGTGTGTGTGTGTGTGTGTGTGTGTGAGAGAGAAAACATCAAATTGAAGCCACAACCTGAAACAAATATGACACTAATTTAAATTTGAAAGCTGACAGGGTTTGGTGTGTGGAGGAAGTTCTGGGTTTATCAGATAAAAGATTTAAGACTTAAAGTATCACTCACCCAGCAGCCACATGGCTGTTACCAGGGAAAATGTCTCCACAAGATGAAGAAAAACAGCTCTGTGGTTTCACCCACACATTCTCAGGTATATCTATCCATCTGTGTGAGAGTCTATCCATGTATGTTTTTATCTAGCTGTGCTTTTAACTTATAGTATGTTTTCCAAACACCTTTCAACCTTTGTGTGTTGAAAAATGCAAAAACAGCTGAAACATGAGCTGTAATATATCAGTGTAATTCATCTTTCTTTTCTCCTGATTTTCTTCTCTGTAAGACAATATTTCATGCACTGTATGCTGTATTGATAGGGCAAGTTACTAATGGATCTGCATAGATGAGTTTAGAGAATAACCATACATACCATATTCACATTTATTAAATGGTTTAAAACACACAATAATGTAGTTGTCCACAGCTTTAAGGACATTTTTATGTACAGTATTTATCAACAAGTATAAATTTTCATATGCAGACATATTTTACATTATTACAGCTGTGTTTTACTATGTTGTTGTCATTCATTATCTGTTTATGCCAGCATCCACTATGTAATGGTTGCATAACAGGAGGAGTTACAGTTTATGGCAAATACATTTATAAACACTTATCTCTGCTTACAACTACATCAGTCTGTTATAAACCCTTTATTAAATGTTCATATACTGCTTATAAATGCTAAAGGTGGTAGTGGGGGATAAAGTTAAGAGCTACCAATCAGGGGGGAAAAACTAGTTAGCAGTTATGCAAATAAAAGACAAACAGAGCACCAGTTGTAAAACTAAATAAAGTTAAAATAAAAATAAATTTCTCTAACTTTTATCACATATGTCTTAAAGTATTTAAATTAAACTACAACCCCTTTGGTTGTATTAATGTTAAACAGTTGACTGGCAGTGTAGGCCTGTTTCTACTGCAGTGACAGTGGTATTAGAATTGACGAAAAGGAAAACAAAGAAGCGAGAATGGAGGGGATGATTCACTTTCATGAATATCCATCAGAAGAAGATACCATATTACTGAATGGCCTTGTTCTCATCATACTGGTGATGATGATGATAACAATGATGTTGATGATGAGAGCTGTGAGTTAACCAGTTGCAAACGTAAGTGACTGGCAGTGACGGAAGAGTGACAGTGTGGTGTTGCGTCGCTGTTTTGCCATCTCGGTTTCAAAGAAACAACCAGAGCTTCTGTGAAGGGATTTGTAAACAACAAAATATAATAATTGCAAACATAATAATTGTAATGTAGCATACTGCTTATTTGGCATAAAAGCATTTCTTAAAATTAACTTTATTTTGAGGTACAAATACAGTATGTCTTACTGTAGATGCAAGTGTACTTGGTCTTGTACTGTGTGTGTATCTTGTGTATGCTTTGGCTTGCAAGTTGCATAATGTTACATACAGTTACAAAATGTATTTGATGTGAAGAAGGAAACAGTGAAGTAGAGAGAATCCGTGGGAGGAAGTGGGTCTCCCTGTTTACATGTCTCTCTGTTACAGTTTCCAGGCTGACACAGAGAGACCACATCAAAGCCCAGCTTGTAGCTGAAGTCACGTGATCAGCAGAGGAACTACCAGACACTCCGCCCCATCAGCACCCACGGGCTCATATATATACCTCATCAACTCAACTCACAAACACACATGAGAGAACACATCAAGCAAGCAGAAAGACATTAGTGAGTGAGTGGAAAACAGAGCAGATCGACATTCAAGAGGAAACACATTTTAACAGCAGTGCTTCATAACAAAAACAGAAGCAGCAAAAAGATGCAGTTGGAGTATTTCATCTTTGGGGCAATTAGCTTCCTTCTGACAGGTAAATTTATGATTTTAGGTTTAGTTATTGGTGATAAAACATCCCTCAGATGCATTTCCCCCCCACATTTCTGTCTAACGTGATTTTTTTCATGTTCTTCCTCAGGGGCTCAGTGTGAGGTAACTGAGGTGCTTGCTGAAGAAGGCTCTCAGGCTGTACTACCCTGCAAATGTAGCCCTTCGTCCCCTTTTCCCCCCGCCATCATCTGGAGTAAATCCGACAAAGGGTAAGATGACTGTTTTGTTTGCTGCCTCCTCTTGTCAACAGCCTTTCCCTTTCCTTTATCTCTCCAGCTCCAAACACCCTCAAATCCCTGTATTTCCTTCCAATCCCACGCTCCATTAACTTCAAACCAAAGACTTGTATTGACATGCTGATGACGCTGGATTGTTTGTGACACTTCTTTCCACAGCACTGTTTGGAGAAAGCAAAAGAGCGGTCTGCAATACTGGGGTTCTAGCTGGTCACAGAAAGGGAACCCACGCGCGCGATGCCCTCACTCCCTGTTTGAAAGAGGTGATTACAGCCTGCAAATCAACAGTGTGACAGAGAAGGATGGAGGAATGTACTCTTGCCGGGTGGAACATGGAGACGAGGTGACTGAAAACATGGTCATGCTCAGAATCATTAAAGGTAAGAAACTCATACACAGCCTTGAGACCCCTGATGTTTTGATTGTCTAACATTGGAACATGTATGTCTGGATCAGAAATGATCTGCAATATATGTCAATAATCTCATCCTTGCCTGTATCCTTTACAGTGTCCGTCTCTCCATCCTTTCCCATATGGGGCAACGATGTTTCAGTCAGATGTGACGTGACTCCTTGGCCTCACGGAGCCACTTTCAAGTGGATGTTAAACAACAGCCCATTGGTGCCTCAGACTGGAATCACCTCAAACAGTCTGAAAGAAAAGGCAACTGCGAGACTGACAGGAAACTGGACCTGTGTCGTGGGCTACCAGGGCAAAGAGGAGCAAGCTTCAGCAACTCTGACTGTGAAGGGTACGATTCTGAGCAAAAGAGATCTACAATTACGTTGAACAAATGTTTGATTTATCCTTTTTAATGTAATAATGAACTCCCTTTCTCTCACAGGAATCATCCAACCATCCGAAGACAATACTAAAGTGTATGCCGCTGTGGGATCTGCAGTCACACTCCCTTGTGTGTTTTCCCCTGGTTTAATCCCCTCTCACACAGTCTGGGAGAAACTGAAAGCTAAGTTTCTTTTTAAACCTGCTCCTGGTCGCCTTCCTGCCTCTTTCTCTCCATCCCTGCCATCCTCCCAGCTCCCCTGGGAAAAGTCTGCCAGTTTGAAAGAGGTTGCATTTGAGGATGAGGGCCGGTACCAATGCGCTGGGACCATAGAAGGACAACGGGTGACTCGAAATATGCAGCTTGTCGTAGCCAAAAGTAAGTTTACATGGATTCAGTATAAGCTTGGATAAAAAAATACACTTTTTTTGTCGTCAATAATAATTCAATAAAATGTATTGTCTTGTTTTTCTCTCAGTTGACAGCAGCATCCCATCAAAGCAAAAAGACTCCGTGACGCTGACCTGCCAGCTGACCGACGCGAGCGAGGTCACCAAATATGAGTGGGTTCAAATGGTCTATGACCTCAACGGCACCCAGTCAGTTGGTTCCATCCAGAAGGGGAAGACTCTGAAGATAAGCAAAGTGTCTGACGAGAACTGGGGCGAATGGGCATGTCGTTTCCACGGGAAAGAGGGCATTTTGGGAAATGTAACATACCACATTCCACTGATGAGTAAGCTTTCTCTTGATTTTTCTCTATTTAAATGCTTTATTATAAAATCACACATTGTCACATTGTGCCTTTATCTGACTGTTTTTATAGGCAATTTCTTTTTTCCCCGCAGGTGGTCTGAATGGAGAAAAGTCGTCAGGCGTCTCACATAACACTGCTGCCATAGTCGGCCTCAGCTTTCTCCTCATTGTTCTGCTGCTGGTTTTGGCTCAGATGTACAAGAACCACCAAAGGGTAAAGACCTGTAGTTCACAGCACTGTGAAAATTACTGTCGTTTCAAAATTCATTTCACCTTTTATTAAATTTTACTGCAAAAAATAAAAAATTGGGGGGGGAGGGGTAAGAATGGAAAAAGAAAGACAGTTGTCTGGGATTATTTCGATTTTGAAATTTCTTAGTAATATTTTTTCCCCCATGAAAGATGCAAAATCTTACAATGATTATTGTCTGTTTCGACGCTTAATTCCAGAAAATGCTTTGAATGAGTTTCACTAGAAAGAAATGACCATACCTAATTAACTGATTTCTCATGATTATATGTATATAAAAATGCATTAAAAAAAATTCTGCATCTCTTTCTCCCACAGAGGAAAAGGCTCTTTCAGTACCCTGCACTGGAGACAATTGTTCACACCACCTCCAATGAGCGGGAGGCGAGAGAGAGGAGCCAAGTGAAAAAGTAAAGACACATTAAAGCAGAGGCATCGCAGGAAAGATCTCACATTGCTAAACTGAAGTGACTATCTTCTTCATGCGTGGAATATGTTGGGAGACTTGTTTGCACAACTTTTGTAAATACAATGATATCCAGAGCTGACATGTAGCAGAACTGTTGTTGAATTTGAAATGTTGTATATTATCTTTGTAATTGCTTTCAGTTATATTACTGAATTTGAGAATTTTGTTTCCATAGAGTGTTGACAATAAAATGTTTCACAAATAAAGTAAATTTAACAGAAGTAAATCTTCTTTATTACATTATATATACACTCTGAAACTATCAGGTCAATGACAAAGTACAATAATTACTCATATAAATAATATACACAGTAAAAAATAATGTTTCATTATATTTAAACAAACCAAAATGTTTATTATAAAAAAAACTATATTACATTATTTTACATTAATTACAAAATCATTATTGGCCATATATTGAGAAAAAGAAAACTATTTCCATTTTAACTACTTCCATCCTTGTTAATTTGTCGCTCTGGAGTTCATAGTCATGGACTGAATTTTGAGTTTGCATAATAAGTTGTTGACTGGCAGTCTAGTTTTGTATCCACTTAGTGACTACGGGCTTCAGAGCTACACCTGACTACACTCCCCATTTTCTTGCTCTTGAGGTTCATAGGGGTCCAAAAAGGCCAAAGACCGGCTGATGCCCTCCAGAAGCCCCTCGGCTTCAGGTTGTAAATGATCCATGACTTCATCATCATCAAAGCACCAACCTGACCAGTCCACATTCACACCTTCCGTAAAGACAACGCTGAAGAAAAAGAGAAATGAAAACAGAAGGTCAAAACTGACTATTTTATAACATTTGTTGCGCAAGTAATTTCCCTACTACCGAATATTTAAATTGTTCAGGTTCACATTTCCTTCCACTCTTTAATATTCTAACTACATAGACCAAATGCTGTTTAAGAAGCAAAGAGTATAAAATACCTAAATAGAGTACTGGCATGCACATTACAGTATTTACTACAATATACATGGGATTCAAAATATCATGAGAACATTTAAATAAACAAAGAACTTAAATAACGCTCTGATAAATACATTGTATAGTGCAAGTAATAAGTAATTAAATAGGCTATTTATTAAAAGTTTAAAATTGAAAATGAGAATGAAAATCTAGACAGTGTAACAAATAAACTGTTAAAAGTGTCTTGTGGAGTTTCTGGTGTAAACAATCCACAATTTAAAATATTGAAAAACATTTTATCATATGTTTTATAGAATACAAAATACATTAAACATGTTTATTAGGACTTAAGGATGCACAGCGCTTTGTGGTTAGAAACGTGAAAAACCCAGGGTAATTTTAAGTTTCCATTCTCATAGAACAGTCCATTACCAGCCTACTCAACACTGAAAACTCATTTCACTACCAAAGATTTGACAGTTTAAAAATACATTCCCCAATTACATATACATGTAGCCCGCATAAAGGACATGTATTCTATCTGTCTCTACTTGCTCTATGTTATTCAAATAAACGTCTGCTCTGAGGTGCAAAGACTGAAAAGATAACCTAATGTGCCACTCTTGAGTCACATTTTAAATGAATGATGTGTGATATTTACATGTTTTTTTCCTGATACTGGGTGTATTTTTCACATAATTCTTACTATATGTGAATCACTTGTTTGAAAAAATTACATTTATTAATTTTTCTTTTGTATTTATTGTTTTTTTTTTTAATTAGTGGCTTGGTGGGCTTCTTGACTACACATAGGCTGTCTTGGAAATATGTCAGTTTTTGAGGTAGTATTGTAGTAGAAGCATGTCGTTGATTTGTCACCCATCGTAACAAGTCTTTTTACTGTACATGGCTAACCAAATCCCTTTTCCCTCTGGGAATTAAGAAAGTGATCTACCAAAATAATGGATTTGATTTTATATATTAATTACACAACACGTTAATTAGACAAACAATGAAACACATGTAAAAGTAAAGGACACTTTGTCATACTAACCTGTCCCTCTTCTCATCTTCATCTCCGTCCACCAGCTGCTCCTTCCATCCTTTACTCACTGTGAGGGCCTTGTGCCTCATTAGCTCCACCTCCTCCCACTCGGCATCTCTGTCTCCATCACTGGGGGATGGTGATGGTGTGGTGGAAAATGAGGGGGAAGGAGGAGGATTTATTGACCTGAAATTGTTGATTTTCAAACCCTTGTTTGTTTTTAATCCACCTTTGTCCCTCTCTCTGCCTTTGGCTCTTTCCAAAAGACTCTCCAGAGGGGAAGGATGTCCATTTGGATTTGGATGTTTGGAGGTGGGAAATTGTGCATTCTCTGCTTGATGTAATGTGTACATACTACTGGAGTGCAGACCATGGCCTCCTTCAATGACAATATTAGGAATGGAGGCACTCCTTTGAGTTTTCATTGTGGGATGTTTTTCATAGAGGTTAGGATCTGGCAGTTCAGATTCAGACTGTGTTTGGGGGTCAGGGGAGACTCTATCATGCATCTTCCAAAACATATCTGGATTCTGCTTCAGGGAGCTCAGCTTTAGCACAAGGTGTGTATCTGAGGTTTGGCCAGAAGGAACAGAGTTTCTCTTGATATTTAGGTTGTGGTCTGAGATGGAGAAAGAGTAGTTGTTTAAAGCAGACACATCATGTGCGGACCCCTGGAAGAACTGCGTAGATGTCTGAGTAGTGGAGCCCTGAGAGGAGGAGATTGGCCTCCTCCTCCGTAAAACGGGTGATCTCAACTTTTTGGAGAAAGCCCAAGCCTCTGGAGATGTCTCTGTGTCTCCAGACTGGCTGAAGCTGGAATTTCTCCAGGTGTTCTGGTTCACAGACTGAGAATCATTGTCTTTCTTTGATGATATTACTCCCTCTTCCGGTACTCCTAAAAACTCAGGCCCCTGCCTGGATATTGTTGGCTGGTAAAGAGGTTGTGAAGTACTATCTTCATTCATTGGGTAGTCAACATCTGGATATTCACCTACTAAGAGAACACGTGGTCCAGTTGTGTTGCATCTTAAATGATCCGCTGCATTACTGTGTGTGAAATGATCCAGGTTAGGGGCAGATCGCCCCCTGTGGTTCCAGGTGACCCTTCGCTCCTTTACCATGAGGGTTTCAACCATTTTCTCTTCTTCCTCTGTGTAGATCTCTGTGTGTTCTCCTTTCACTCCCATTTCTATCCATTCATATCCTTTGACTGCTTGTTGCCGACCAGCAATGTTCTTACGCGCTAATTTACAATTTCCGTCAATGGGCTGGGATTGCAAAAAAGATACAGCGTTGTTTGTGGTTACATCATCTGGAAGTTGATACTGTTGCTCTGCTTCCACAGTAAGTTCATCCACAAAAGTCTCTTCTCTTGATTGTGTAAAAGGTTGTTCTTCAGTCTCCATATCATCCGTCTTGACTTCTGTAACAGGTTTGGCCTCCAATTGCTGGATTTTCCAGTATTCCTGTTGTCTGTTGCTCTCTTTCTCTCTCATGTTTCTCAATGTTTCCTGGCAACATACGACAGAGATGAAATGAATAATGCATTCAACAGTGAATTAGTATATTATTTGTAATGTTTCAAATAACAGGACTAAGAGTCCACAGCCATGCTAGACTGAGACTGTACTTAGACACATTGATGCTTTGAGCTAAATGCTAACATCCGCATGATAAGATGCTTAAAATTAGATTAAATTAAATGACTGTATTTAGCTGATGCTTTTTCCCAAAGAGACTCACATTAAGTTAATTCAACCATGTGGACACAATTTTCATTCAAAATTTCAAGAATTATGCAAGTACTTCATCAAATGAACTGTGTGAACAACAATGTGTAATGTTTACCATATTCACCATCTTAGATCAGCCTGTCAGTATTTGCTAATTAGCACTAATCACAGCAAAGGCTGATGGGAATATTACTAATTTTGCAAGTGCAAAATGTTGCATTCTAAACCAAAATGGCAACCTCATGGTGGCACTAAAAGAAAAGTTAGGGGATCCCCAAAGTCTTTAGGAATCATCCTCTAGGAATTATGTCTGTATAAATGTGTTGTGCCAGTTGATGCAGAAGAGTTCAATATATTTCATTACATAAGTTAAAACTTGCTGGTGGTGTACGAGAAAAAGTCAGTATAAAATTTAATGGCAATCCATCCAGTAGTTGCTGACATATTTCAGTCTGGAACAAAGCATTGGGCAGAGAATCGACTGTCATGTGGACATTTCCATAGAGCCAACGTGATAGCATGTCATAGTAAGTTAAATTAGACTACTATCATTTCAAAAGATCTAGTCAGTTTTTACCTTTGCCTGGTGGATGGTGGAAACCCATGTGGAGCAGCTCTCTGAGCTGCTGGCTACAAATATGTAGACATTCATAGCACTCTTAAGCTCACCTACCTCCACGAGAACAAATGAACCTAACAGAAGAGGAGGAATGATTATGGGATTTATAATATGTATATTTACACAGAATCCAATGTATATCTTATATCTTGTCTGGAAGTGTTACTCACAGCCATCCTTCAGTGCAATGCAGTACGTTCTGTCGAGGGCCAGAGGAGGTCGAACTACCTTCAGCCGCTCTCCTTTCTTCTGGACTTTGGTCATTAGAAGCACATCAGAGAAAAGTAGAGCCACCACCTCCAGCTGCATCACACCACGTGAAAGGAAACATATGAAAGTCAAAAAAGTAATGACAACGATGTTCTGAAGAGACAGATTTAAATATCCAGTAACTGAGTGCACTGGCTCTGCTAACCTTGCTGTCTTTTCTCCCCCGAATCTTCAAGTTCTCCTCCAGCAGCAGCTTACGTACGACTTCAGAACCTACTCCCCTGATGGGGCATGTAAGGTCAAACTGGCAGAACACTCGGACATGCTGTCAAAGGAAATCCATCATGATCATCAACATATTAGAGTGAATAGAATTAGAGTTTATTTTGGCAGAAATCTATAATGTTCAATATTGTTAATATAGCCTGACATGTAAACTCTCACATCTTGAATGAACTCTCACATCCTGTTTCCTTTATACAATTTTAAGGAAAAAGAAAGAAACAAGAAACTGTTTTTGTAGACCACTGATAACTAATAAACCATTGCACTCATTATTAATTGTTCATTTTGTGAATATTAAATACTCTATATGCTATAGAGTCTGTTTTGATAAACACTCTATTGTGTATTTTATTACAGTATGTCGTTATTGTTATTGGGGTTTTTTGTAGCAGCAAAAAAATTACAGTACCCATGCGGTATGATAAATGCTATTATCCATCCATCCATTAGATATAACCACTTATCATTTAGTGGGACTGAAGCCAATCCCTGCTGGTATTGGGCAAGATGTCAATCACAGGGCTAAATGCTGTCATTTAGTAACATTATTATTATTATTATTATTAACATTATTATTTTACATGTACCTCTCCACATGTATGGATTACTGGGCAAAGACCCTGAGGCCAAAATGGTCATGAAGGATTAATGTGTCTTGTTGGAAAGTCAATCTAACATCTACAAAGAGAAGCAAAGCAACTACAAGAGACACAAAGCAACTGCAAAGAAATGCAAAATGATTACATAGATACGATACGACTATATAGAGATACAAAACAACTACAAGAAACACAAAACAACTATGAGACACAAAATAACTACAAAGAGACAAAAAATAACTACAATAGACACAAAACAACTTTGAGACACAAAATGATCACAAAGAGATGCAAAACAACTATGAGACACAAAATAACTACAAAATGATCACAAAGAGATGCAAAACAACTATGAGACACAAAATAACTACAAAGAGACACAAAATAACTACAATAGACACAAAACAACTATGAGACACAAAATAACTGCAAAGATACACAAAACAACTATGAGACACAAAATAACTACAATAGACACAAAATAACTACAAAGAGACACAAAACAACTATGAGACACAGAATAACTACAAAGAGACACAAAAAACTACAATAGACACAAAACAACTATGAGACACAGAATAACTACAAAGAGACACAAAATAACTACAATAGACACAAAATAACTATAAAGAGACACAAAACAACTATGAGACACAAAATAACTACAAAGAGACACAAAACAACTATGAGACACAAAATAACTACAAAGAGACACAAAATAACTACAATAGACACAAAATAACTACAAAGAGACACAAAACAACTATGAGACACAAAATAACTGCAAAGATACACAAACAACTATGAGACCCAAAATAACTACAATAGACACAAAATAACTACAAAGAGACACAAAACAACTATGAGACACAAAATAACTACAAAGAGACACAAAATAACTACAATAGACACAAAATAACTACAAAGAGACACAAAACAACTATGAGACACAAAATAACTGCAAAGATACACAAAACAACTATGAGACACAAAATAACTACAATAGACACAAAATAACTACAAAGAGACACAAAACAACTATGAGACACAGAATAACTACAAAGAGACACAAAAAACTACAATAGACACAAAACAACTATGAGACACAGAATAACTACAAAGAGACACAGAATAACTACAATAGACACAAAATAACTACAAAGAGACACAAAACAACTATGAGACACAAAATAACTACAAAGAGACACAAAACAACTATGAGACACAAAATAACTACAAAGAGACACAGAATAACTACAATAGACACAAAATAACTACAAAGAGACACAAAACAACTATGAGACACAAAATAACTACAAAGAGACACAAAACAACTATGAGACACAAAATAACTACAAAGAGACACAAAACAACTATGAGACACAAAATAACTACAAAGAGACACAGAATAACTACAATAGACACAAAATAACTACAAAGAGACACAAAACAACTATGAGACACAAAATAACTACAAAGAGACACAAAACAACTATGAGACACAAAATAACTACAAAGAGACACAAAATAACTACAATAGACACAAAATAACTACAAAGAGACACAAAACAACTATGAGACACAAAATAACTACAAAGAGACACAAAACAACTATGAGACACAAAATAACTACAAAGAGACACAGAATAACTACAATAGACACAAAATAACTACAAAGAGACACAAAACAACTATGAGACACAAAATAACTACAAAGAGACACAAAACAACTATGAGACACAAAATAACTACAAAATGATCACAAAGAGATGCAAAACAACTATGAGACACAAAATAACTACAAAATGATCACAAAGAGATGCAAAACAACTATGAGACACAAAATAACTACAAAATGATCACAAAGAGATGCAAAACAACTATGAGACACAAAATAACTACAAAGAGACACAAAATAACTACAACAGATACAAAACAACTATGAGACACAAAATAACTGCAAAGATACACAAAACAACTATGAGACACAAAATAACTACAAAGAGACACAAAACAACTACAACAGACACAAAATAACTACAACATGATCACAAAGAGACGCAAAACAACTATGAGACACAAAATAACTACAAACAGATACAAAATGATCACAAAGAGACGCAAAACAACTATGAGACACAAAATAACTACAAACAGATATAAAATGATCACAAAGAGACGCAAAACAACTATGAGACACAAAGCAACTACAAAGAGAGTGTCTCTTTCGCTCCTGTGTAGAAGAGGTGGGGGGCCTTTTACATTTCTGTCCCTATTGTCTCATAGTTTGTCCATTTCTGCACTATTAGCTCTGCCTCCATTGACAATCTAGTTGACCAAAAGGTTTGGACTCCAGTACATTCACAAGAATGGCATATATCAGCTGAGTTTGTGATCCACAAAATATACAGGATTTAAAGGAAAACAATCATATTTTACCTTGTCAATTTCTTCATTTATTCCCTCCACCTCGTATCCCTCCACCCTCTGAGCAGAGATGGTGAGAGCGAGTTTTTCATCTTTTAGCTTCAGGTAGTCATTGATACTCTCCAGAAAACTGTTTACACTGGACAACTGGAGAAGAGCAAGAAGAAGATGGTTAATGTGAGTCAGTGGGACTTTGACAATTTAAAAGTTCATAATTCAGGCTGGAAAATCTTTACATAATTTTTAGCAAGAAGACATTTTAACGATGCTCATTCATAAAGACTAACGGTGGATTTGTAAAATCTATTAACTACTCTAATTTATATTAAAGGAGTTGCAGCCCCTGTAACAGAAATAAAGCTAAACTTTTTTACATATAACATACAAGTTATAACATCTTGTTAACCCTGTCAAATTCTGAAACATCTCCTCAGAATGTTCTCAATACCGTGAAGAAATCTGGATCACCGTAAGTTTATAAAATGAACTACGAGAAGTCAGAAGCTCTACCATTAAATGCATTTAGACACAAACCACATATGCTGAACCCTGAAAGGGCTATGGTATAGTCCTTCACAATTTAAAAGTTTCTCACCATGTTTCTAAGTTTGAGCTGCACATGAGGATCCTGGGTGGTTTTCAGTACGGCCTTGAGCAGGAGAGGGTACTTTGTGATCCTCTGGTGGGGTTTGGCCTGCATGTCCCCAAGTCGCATCCGCTCACACTGATGGTGAGTCTCCACAAACTGAACAAGACAAAAACACAAGAACATTGCCTCAAGTCAGTGCTTTTGACTGAAACAACTTTTATTACATAGTGACTTGAACACTGAATGAAATAGTGTCAATTTTATGTCAATTTATCGTTTCGCAATGGAAATTGTTGAGAGGGAGGTCTGTGGACTACCCTGATTAACCAGGACATTATTCTTTCACCTCCAAAGTCTTGACAAATAAAACCATATCTACAAAAAACAAAATCAAAAAGTGTTAAGTGAGATGTTTTTGCTTTTGTTTGATTTGGATGAGCAGCCCCTTTTTACGCCCCCATTTCCTGGTAATTTATAATGTGTTGTTAAACAAAAAACTATCACATCCCACTGAGGTTGACAAGTGTGATGGTATGACATAAGTGAAAAAGCAAGTGTAAACACATTTACACTAGTGGTAACTGGTTCTATACACAAGATATCATTGTTAATCGTAGGGTGCCATGTTTCTATCAAAATGCTATAAAAATTCCTGCTTTTAGTCTTCCAGGTTTTGTGTAACTGTCTCTGAAGTGCAGTCGTACTTGTCTTGCAGTCACTATTCTGATAAATGTCCTGTAATCAGTTTTGTGAACAAGAAATCCATTAAACCACTGTTGAGTCTGAATCATTTGGAGAAGATGTTGGCGTGACAAGTGGTTGCCCATCAGGAAGCTACTATGACAGTTCGCCTACAAGGTTATGAAAACATCACAAACCACAAAGTTCCACCATTAATAACAGAACAGTTACACCGAATTCAATGTAATAATGAGATTTTTATGGGAGAGGGTTTCAGTATATGTGGGTAAACTTTCATCCTTGGATGCCCACGTGTTTGTGTTCAAGACATGTATGTATGGATCTCTGCTGCTTACTGTACCTGGACAAAAGTGAGGAAATGTGGGTTGCTATCCATCTGCCTCCGTGTGAACTCAAGGTTGTTTTCTTCTTCCCAACAGTAATGCTGATAGGAAGAGAAGCGCTCATGGAACTGGGGAAAAAAGGAAAGTATGATTAATGGTAACGTGAAAACCCTCTGATGTGTTTACATTTGAAGAGTTAATTTGGAAAAACAAACAAATGCCATTCTTAAAATGAATACACCAACACCAGTTTGATTGATATTCCCTGAAGTGCACAAAAAAACCCTTCATTTATCTATTTAGCAGAGACATTTGTCCAAAGCGAGTAAGTAAGTGCTGCATTCAAAATTCTACTTAAAAACATGTATTCTACTGCATATATGAAAAAAGTTGTAAAAGGCCTTTTCTGGCTCCAGAGTGAGCTGAGCGAAGTCTAAACATTGGTTTAGACTGAAGACTACAAAATTAAAAACAAAAATATCTGGGGGTGTGGAAAGATGTGAGTTTACCGTAGCCTGCTTCTCATCAATGCTTAAGGCCAGCAGCTCGAGGCTACATTAGCCGCTACTAGCATTTGGACCGAAACCTACACATCCAGAAAATCTTAGTAAGTTAGAGTATGCTGGTGAAACTTGAATGAAATAAGATAGATAAACACTACCAGAGAATCCTACTGGCTCTTTGAAATGCCTAACTAAGAAATGGCTGAGGAAAGAACTGTGTTGGAGAGATAAGATTACTCACAACTTGATGCATATACTCACAGATTTATATTGTTGCATTTATATTGATGCATTTATTTATATTGATGCAACTTGATGCATATACTCACATTACTCACAGATGCATATACTGATGGACTTAAAATATTATTCACGTTTCATCCTTCATACCAGACTTTGTTTAAATAGGCATCATAAACATTACTCTCAATGTAATTTTTTTGCCTCCCAACCTGTAATATATTATTTCATTTATCTATTTATAATTCCCTACCTTAATATATTTTAAAAGGTCCATGTGTTCATATGCTGGTGCTTTTGTTTCGTTTATTCAGTCTCTTTAAAAGTAAATCAAAAGAGAATTGCAAGAAAAACTACTTTAGTGAAAGTACATAACTGTTATATCAGTACATATCATAACATTGGATTATGATGGCTGATTCTTTAACTTGTAAGCAGCATTTTAATTTGAGCTATTTACAGTTTTATATGCTGTTGGGTAGTTTTATTTACTCTGTTAGCTGTCAGATATAGTAGGGTAAAAAGTACAATAGTAAAAGTATAGTAGCATAAAATGGAAATACCAGTACCACAACACAATACTGTGTGTAAGTAAAGTACTTGAGTTAATGCACTAAGTTACTTTCCACCACTGGCAGGCAGAAACACACCTCTGAATGTGTTTGTAATGTATCTTGCAGACTGTGAGTTCATACCTGCAGGCAACCAGCCTCTAACCTTATGGGGTCAAAGGGCTGGCCTGTCATTCGGACTTCTTTTAACATGGGATAAATCACCTCCTGCCAGAACAGCTGGTGTGCGATGAGGATGGCGGGAAGGTTGGAGAAAAGCCGCTCAGGGGTCACCTGTCACAGAAGGAACTCATACCAAAATCACAATAATTTTATTAAAAGTTGAACTCCCCTGCTTTTGCTATTTTCCATCTTCTCAAAGGAAATCTGTTGTTGCTACATTTTCCGCCTGTGTGTTGTATTCTGTATCAGCAGGAGCGGATGTTGTTGTTGTGTCAGTCAGTGTGTGTCAGTGGTATGCAGTGGAACAGTGGAAACTAGGCCTGCAGCTGAAGTATGTGTTGTGCAGCAGCAGGGTTGTGTGTTTCCAATCTAGATGAGGCTGCATGCTCTGCAGTACTGACCTCCAGGAGAAATCCATGCTGGTGCAGGTTGACAAGAGCTGCAATAACCAGCTGTGAAAAGCAGACACAGCTTTGTTAAACATCCTGTGGAAAAGCAATACTGTATTTAAATGAGACTAGGACCGCAGGTAAAGAATGACATCTTACGTCTTGGATGATAATTAGCTTGTTGATGTAGGTGAGCTCAGTATGAACAAACTCCCACAGCGCCTCCTGTTGGTGTCTCTGCGTCTTTGACATGGTCTGACCATTAGAAGAAAACAGAAAAATAGAGAGAGGATGAGGGGAAGGAGACACTAGTTAGAGATGTTTCAATAATGTGTAAAATGTGAATACACAGCCGGTATTTTACAGTAAGAGCAGGAGAAGCATTTCAAAGGATATGGGGAGAGTCTATATTTTTACAAATCAAATTAAAAGAACAAAACACAATAATCTCTCAGTTCTTTCCCACTTCCCAGTGTATCTGGAACCCAATTATTCCTTTTTTTTAAAAACAGGTCACTAAAAAGTACTTTTGTATTTTTTTAAAATCCAAAATTATTATGCTAAAAAAGGTGGGCACTGAAAGTCTTAGCAAACATTAATGAAACAGGAGTTAATATGCGAGCATTTACAGTAGCTGATATAGTATATACCATGCATATAGTATATAACATGCACCATAGTAGTATGGTGGCAAAAGAGGCACAGAGGAATAAACTACAGCTTTTGATACACAGACAATAATTGTTAGTCAGTTAAATTTATTGTTGGTTTGTCTTTTCATGGGATTTGTTGACAGTAAGAAAAATACAGAAATACCGCCACACGTAAGGGCCCTTACTGAATGAGAGTGCACAATATCCGTCCAGTTGTTCTCCAGCGTCGTTCCCTGGTTTTCCTCATTCCACCTCCACTTCAGACTGACTGGCACAGAGTAGGCCAATAGATCCTGCTTCAACACATCCAGCTGACCTCGCTCCTGGGGGTTTAGGGATGACAAAAATAAGAACGCAGAAGGATAGGAAGAAATAACACACACGTGGAAAATCTGAATCAGTGATTCCTTCAAAATCAACAGCTGTGAATACTTGTGGTCAAACGTTACATGTACAAAAGTATGCCGACGGAGCAGAAGTAGTGCTGAAGTTTTTTCCGCTGTGTGAGTGCATGGACACAATTATAGCAAGTCTGTACCTGTTTCTACGCCTTGTCAGCATGTAGTGTGAAGAGCAGGAAACAACATAATACCTCATTTGCCAGGTTCTTCTCAGACACTCCCTGGCTGAACAGAACCTGTCTCAGTGCAGCTCTGGGTTTGGCTCCTCCAGATGCTCCCTTAGTCAGTGTTGCAAAGTCAGTCACAACCTTCTGCTTGGTGCGCCTCTGGAGATGGAAAATGGAGTCAGACATTTCATTTTCATATTGTGCCTTTCATGAGGAAGAACCAGAGGATCGATGAAACTAGACTGCGCTTATGTTCCCATGATTTGTGTTTGTGTCAAGTTCTACAGTAGTTTTTAACAACTGAACACTTGATACTCAATGTAAAATATTACATTTAAAAGTCCTGCATTCAAAAGGAACAAAAGTGAAAGTACTTTATATATATTATAGGATTTTAATCACTAATGCAATCATGTCTAAGCAGAATTTGAGAGGTAATTGGTCGAAGTGGATCTGATTTTAACAGCTTTATAAAGCATTGAACGGTTTAATCTGCAAAACTTTAAATCTTAAAAAGACATTCATATCTATAATTGAGTCCTAAAACCTCATTTCAACCTCTTTTTAATTGAAAAACAACTTGTATAAAATTTGTTTTATTAATGGGCATCTGAAACGAGATTCTCGCTGCACTATGATGAAAAAAATGATTAGAATTGTATTGGAGTAGAAGTATAAAGTGTAAGCATAAAGGCATAAAATGGAAATACTCAAGTTAAGGAGCTCAAAACTGTACTTGCACAGTACTTGAATAAATGTACTTCCACCACTGGTAATGTCAGCAGACTGCCACCACCCTCACCTTCCTGTCCCATTTCACTTGCCTGATAGCCAAGCGTGTTGAACTTGTGTTTGTCTGCTGACCCCCTGTGGTGATGGTTTATCTCTGCAGCTGCTGTCATCGCATCAACAACATCTGGCTCTCTGGTTTCCATATCCCTCTGCCTCTCCCCGTCAGCACCGTCTCGCCACGGCAGCAATACTTCTTCCATCAGTGATTAATTTCCCCCAACGTTGTTTACATGCGGTGATTTTGAGGAGAGGCTGAGGATAAATACACAGGGTCGATGATTGACAAAGTAAGGTGTTTGAGGCTGAAAAGGAGAATAGCTTGTCTCAAGGAAAAGCTTTACAAGAGAGGCATGGAGAGTGTAAGACGGAATGGAGGGACAATGTTTGTTTTGTTATCTTTATAAAACAGTCCTGAGACTTTCTTTTCAGGTCTAAAGTGTTATAAGTGCTAAGTAAACAAACAAACACAGATGGCAACAAAAGACAAAAAGCTGACTTACTGTTAACAATGGCATTAGTAAATCATTTAAGACAGTAGTTCCCAACCTTTCCGGATTCTGATCCCTCAAAATAAAGCATGTCTGCTTGTTACCAGCTATGTGAATACTGCTTGTGTTTTATAAAATTTATAATCCCTATAATAAACATTTGTAATTTAATGTTATTTCTAGGGACCTAAGCTTGTTTACAATGCCACCAGATCACTCTGTTTTGCGACCCCTCAGATTTATCTTGCAACCTCTGGTGCCTGTCCTGACCCCAAAGCTGGGAAACCACTAGTTTAAGATTTTATTTAGTAAGTATGTTAAGTAGATGTATCCATTGGCAGATTTTCAGAAAAGGTTGTTACAAAGTGCTCCACAATCGTAGTATTGTATGACAGTATCAAACACAAGAAAAGACATAAAACGCTAAATATTTGTTAAGAAATTAGGAAATATAAGTGAGTCTTGAAAAGAATTAAAAAACTATTTCAATTTAGTTTAATTGGATGCTCTCATGGTAATAAGTAAAGTATTCCCAAGATGTGTGGTTCTCTCTAAAGACTGTCATACATACACAGTAAATACCAGAAGTCAGTCAGGTATTAGAAGCTGAAATCATTACTGTTGCATCTTACAGACAATGAAGCCGATTTAACAGGACACCAATAGTTTCACACAGCTCCAGCTCCAGTTACACAGCCGAGTGGGTCGTAGTGTAACTCCAGGACTCAGCTGATATTAGTTTCCACAAATCCAATGTCATAACAGAATGCCCTGCTGCAGATTTAAGTTACAGCGAAGAATGCGTCTACATTCTCTGGAAGCCACTGTATCTCAAGGAAATATTTCACCATTACCTGATGGAGCCATTAGAGAAGTGCCATTTGTACACACTGCTGGGTCACTGCTGTTAAATAATGCTACATACTGTACGTGCAGTGGGGGGGATTATTGCTGTAACTGTTGTTCATATTTATTCATTTTTAAAAAATAATAATTTTATACAGATTTTAGAAGTTATTTCAAAAGCAAACACACTCACAGGAGCAAACACACTGCGGACAGGTTCACCACAATAATCTGCTCATGCTACACTGTCAAACATCAAAGGACTGACGCAAGTGCTTTCATCACATTGACATACCTGTTTACAATCACTGCCTGTATCCCGCAGTTCAGGTACATTGACATTAGATTGTATTGCAGTTTTAACACTTTAACCCACACAAACATTAATAATGGGACAATCAAAACAGACCTCCTGGTAGTTGTATAACCTCAGTAAATAAACAAAGCTAATGCCCCAGAACAGTCCATGGATAAACACAGCTCTGACATGAAAGTGATTTACTGTAGTGAAGACATGAAGTAAAATGCTTCTTTTAAGTATTGTACACTTTCAACTCCTCTCACTTACCACCTTTGCTTTTTAAAAGATAAAATTGTAGACTTTACCTGGGCTTGGTTGGATCCATTTTGTTTCACCCACTCATGTTTGGTTTCTATTAGCTTTCCCCTCCTCTTTCTCTCTGCCTGGATTGGTCCCTCCCTCTATTCCTTTCACCTGCACCCCTGCCCTCTGCAACTGGCCTAACAGGAACAACTGGATTCTGCAGCCAACACATCAGTGCTAAGGCCAGTTAATGTGTTTCAGTTGAAAGTGTTTAGCGTGTCTTAGGTGATGACAGATTTTTTTGAGGATGATCTATTGTTTTCTGTCAGTCAGGGTTTTGGATCACCTTTAGCAAACAGGAAGAAATCATTTTAAGAGGGGAAGAGAGGTCTTGTGTTTTTATACAGCAAAAGCAGCAGTTGTTTTGTTTGCACATTACATAACAGAATGTGGCATAAATGTGAGCTCAACCATGAAACTCTGGGGATTGATGGCACTGCTGGCAGGTAAGAAGTTATAGGGAAGACAAGCCAAAATAAAGTAGCTACAGGAAAGAGAAAAAAAGATGAAAAGACCAGGTCATGTCAAAAAAGACTTCACAGTTAGGGTTAAGTTAAGACAAAGGAGGAAAGATGTCTTCCAGTCCAGCCTAATTTATGGAACAATTCAGATACACACATTAAGAAATGTGATGTTTATTTAAAGTTGCAATATCAACACATCATCATTTGTACGGTGCTCAACATTCTTCAACATTGATTGTTCACTCAATGTATGATTCTGTTCAAAAGTATAATACATTTAAGTTTTATATGTAAGTACATTTAGAAGTATAATCATACATGTAAAAGTGCTTTGGAATGACACGTCGTCAGTCTGAGTATGACTAATTCACATCTGAATTTGCAGGCTGAGACTGCCAATTATAAAAGTTGCTTGGCTAAAGCATACTGAGACAGGGAGTGTCAGATATTCTCCAACAGTCACGAATAACGCTTCTATAATGAGGCGTAAAAGAATGGGGCTGTAAAGCTTTAATAAGTGGCAGGGGTCTGGTCTACATTAAGTATGAACTTTAAGCCTCCCCAGCTTTGTCGTTGTTCCCATAATATTTGAACAAAGATACAGTATAAAAACAACACTATTAAAACATTACCAGTTAACTTTGTGGCTGAATAATCAGTATTTGATTTTGCACTTCCCCCTGCTAAATAAAAAGTTTTTTTTTTAGATATTTATATAGATTAGATTAATAGTACTAGAAAAAGAATAGCTTAATTGGCATAACTGTGCATGAAGAGTAGGTACAATGGATGATACAATTTGTTAAGACAATGATATCCCCCCATATTTCCACAGATAAAATGTACAGTATAGTAATATCATAGAAAATGTGCATCTTATAAAAGGCTCCATGACCCTTAAAGGATTAGTTTGACATTTTGGGAAATATGCTTATTCAATTTCAACTCGATACCACTCTCGTGTTTGTATGGTAAATACTGTTAGCTTAGCTTAGCATAAAGACTGGAGACCGGTGAAAGAGCTAGCCTGAATCTGTCCTATGGTCTACCTACCTGCACCTCTATACTGTAGCTGTAGCTTTGTCTAGCTTTAACAAACGATTTTGTGCACTTTGAAGGTGCTGGTGGTATCAGTTACATTTAGACAAAGCCAGGCTAGCTGTGTTGCCCTGTTTCCAGTTTTTACACAAAGCTATCCATACCTGCTTGTGATTGTAGCTTCACATTTACCACACACACGAGTGGTAACAATCTTCTCATCTCAACTAGTTCCCAAAAGGTCTTATTATTCCTTTTAGATTCAAAAACACACTGCTAAAAGTTCTTCACAAGTTTTAAGCAGACTGTATCAGTGCATAGTCCCATTTTCTGTGACTCTCCCTCCCAGAACCAATTGATTCATTGCTCTCAGTAGTTCGACCATGTCATCTCAGCGAGTGATTAGCAGGACAAGAGGTAGAGTGCTCAGTGATGCTGGTTGCTGTGAAATAAAACTGCATTGGTGATAGCACCGTGTCAGTTTGTATGCTTTGATGCTGTCCGTGAGTGAGTCCAATACTTGGTTTCATAAGGCTTTTTATTCCACCTGGAACACGTAGCAGAATTACTGAATGCCATACTTTGTACCCAGCTCCTCGGCTGCCCGTCCCAGGTGCATCTTCTTCAGTTCGTCCATCAACTCCTGCAACAAGTGCCAGTGCAGCATTCCACCTCGTCCTCCTCCACGTGACCCTCTCTCGGCCCACACCCTCAGCATCTGGTAGTGAGCCTCCCGGCTGGATCGGTGATCCACCTCTGCTTGTTCGATCTCTGTATCCTTCACACCGAGATAACGCACCAGCTGCTTCACTTGCAGCACAGGAACCAGATCCAGTACCATGTAGATCAGGTCAGGGACTGAGGAGAGAGGAGAGGGGTGTTGAAGGGAAGAGTTGGTACAATCGTTTTCTGTATTCTTGAGCCCAAACACACAGGACCAGTGCTCAGGAGCATGTGCTGCTATGTGCAGTGTAAAATACAGGTGCTGGTCATATAATTAGAATATCATCAAAAAGTTGATTTATTTCAGTAATTCCATTCAAAAAGTGAAACTTGGATATTATATTCATTCGTTCCGAAAATTAGAATATTACTTAAGACCAATACAAAAAAGGATTTTTAGAAATGTTGGCCAACTGACACAAGGAATGCGACAGCTGAAACCCATGTCTTGCATACGTCTGTGCGTGGTAGTTCTTGAAGCACTGACTCCAGCTACAGTCCACTCTTTGTTATTCTCCCCCACATTTTTGAATGGGTTTTGTTTCACAATCCTCTCCAGGGTGCGGTTATCCCTTTTGCTTGTACACTTTTTTCTACCACATCTTTTCCTTCCCTTCGCCTCTCAATTAATGTGCTTGGACACAGAGCTCTGTGAACAGCCAGCCTCTTTAGCAATGACCGCTAGTGTCTTGCCCTCCTTGTGTAAGATGTCAATGGTCGTCTTTTGGACAGCTGTCAGCAGTCTTCCCCATGATTGTGTAGCCTACAGAACTAGACTGAGAGACCATTTAAAGGCCTTTGCAGGTGTTTTGAGTTAATTAGCTGATTAGAGTGTGGCACCAGGTGTCTTCAATATTGAACCTTTTCACAATATTCTAATTTTCTGAGATACTGATTTTGGGGTTTTCATTAGTTGTCAGTTATAATCATCAAAATTAAAAGGAATGAACACTTGAAATATATCAGTCTGTGTGGAATGAATGTATAAATTATACAAGTTTCACTGTTTGAATAGAATTACTGAAATAAATCAACTTTTTGATGATATTCTAATTATATGACCAGCACCTGTATACTCACTCTTGATTTCCAAGGGGACGCAGTCAGGCAGATTGGCTGGCTGGTCCTGTTCACTTGTTGGAACAGCCCTGACTGTGTTGTTTGATGGTTCCTCACTCTGCATCAGGATTTGCTTAAAAACAAAGACAGATCACATTTTATTGACCGTAGGCGTACACCCAGCAAAGAAAAGTAACCAAAGACAGTTGGATCAGTGTACCTGGCATGTGTCCAGAGAGGCATCGGGAAGTTGGGAGGACGATTTCAGCAACTTCTTTTTGGTAGACCATTTTGTGGCAGTATAGGTGATGAAAAATACCAGCACCAACAATACCAGCACTGCAGCTGCAACTCCAGCAATAAGACCTTTATGGACATAAAGATAAGTAGGATCTATAGCAGGTGATGGAGAACAAGACATGAAGACACATAATGTGTTAAAAAAGCAATAATGTTTTGAGACAGTCTACTACAAACTACATTCTGTTGTTATAAAACTGCTAAAAAACACTGCAGTTACTGAACATCTGATCAACGCCTTCTTTCACATTTTATAAAGATCTGATCTTGATGCTAGACAAGGATATACAGGGTTTGCCAAGTTTTGATTATCATCATCATCATCACGGTTCAAGCATGAAAGTATGATGGAAAACCAGTGGGACAATATGGCCTATTTATTATATCACTTTTTTTGCAGTACTACCCATCAGTACATGCCTAATGATATAACCAGTTATATTAGTGCGACCTGGACCCGGATAAGTGGCAGAAAATAGATGGATGGACTAACCAATTGAAAATTTATTTTAAGATTTTACTATGACTGACACTGGCTCATTTGATACAATGACCTTCCTAGCTACTGTAGCTAGCAGTAGTGACAGTGTTTGCTAAAAGTCAGATGGTACTGATTGAAATTTCACAAAAAAGGGATTGAATTGACTGAATTGACTCTGCTGGAGACATTTTTTGTGAAATGGCTAATCAAACTAACCACTTCAAACTGCTGTTCATTCATCTCCTCTCAGACTCTACTATTGTCAGTAGTGCAGCTAGCAGACAATGTGTAGTACAGCTGGTCGCCAGATCATTAGATCAGGTATCCTCCATATCTTTTAGCTTTTTCACTCGTTTTCACATCTTAAGAGCCAAATTTTTGAAGAAAACACACAAACCTGGCTACTCTGCAAAGATCTTACCAGTAACAATTGTGGAGATAAAATTAGATTTTGACCCTTCATGTCAGACTGCTGCTGTCCAATACCTGGTTGCCACCGTCACTACAGTACAGCTGTGTTCATTATACATTATACACATAATTTCTTCTTTATCAGATTTTGTAAAAATTATAGGACCAGTTAATTTAACACTTTGATATCAGTGACGAGCAGAATCTGGCTAAGTAGGCTCAAAGCTACTGTATTCCTATTGAAAAATCTATTGTCATTCTGGATGCCAGTGTATTAACTTTTTCATATGAAAGTCTGGCTTATAATCATATCCTTGTTACTAGTGCTCACCTTCTGTTGGTAATGAACAGTGATGTTTGCACTCGGTGGTACAACTGTGGAGAACAGACAGGATGTTTCACAACATTTAGGAGGAAGTAGCACATTTTAAGAGGAAGTGATTTACACAATGGCTCATGAACTTTTATCACACCAACAAACTACTTCAAACTGCATGTAAACACTAAAAAAATTGTTTTTGAACATTGAAATTTAGATCATGCTAGGACATATGGGCAGTTGTTTCTTCCAGGCCCCCCTTCTTTTTCGCTCTTTTATCTGTGACAAATATCTGTGTCTATCCACCTACTACTTAACACTTATTACTTAATTTAAATCTGGACACATTACTCACTTAAAAGAGTCTTCTGGACAGAACCACAATTTTCACTGATAATTCCCTTTTCAAATGCCTTTAACCATATCCTGTTTCAAATCCACAACAGTTTGACAAACATGTCTGACAGATTTATTGATCTATACTGTAAGACCACAAAAGGGATTTTCATCCAGTTACTTTGAAGGTCCTTCCTCAGTGAACCAGGCATACATTGGGTGAAACAGAAGTACATGAGGTAGTATATTTAATAAGTGAGCATTTGTTTAGTAAATGCTGAAATGTCAGTGACTCGGGCTTAGTGCCTCGTTACTTCTCTCTTCTGTTGCCAACAAATGGAAAAATTGAACAAAGTCGGACGTGTGCTACAAGTTTCATTTCAACAACCCGACTTCCCCATTAACAACTTTAACTAAAACCATCCCAAACAGAAGGATGGGAACAACGCATGCACCAAAAGCTTATATACATTAGTATACTCACTTGTTGCAGGGTACACAGACCTTGTTGACTCTATAGAAGTTCTCCGTACATTCACACACAGTGTTGTTCACTGGTGTACCTGTGCACAATAAAAATAATTCTATTAAGACTGAACTGAGGAAAAGCTGGATGAGCCACAGAATGAATAAATAAAAGGCTAGTATTAGTAAAGTATAATTTAATATATTGACAGATCTTACTTACAAGCCTGTTTTTGCTTTTCATTACTGCCGCATTGTGTACATTTGCGACAATCGTATTTTTCTGAGAGGATGGGAACTTTGTAATAACCGTCCGCACAGCGACAAATAGTGTTTTTTTCTTTTTGACATGGTGATTCCACTACTTCATTGTAAATTTCTGGAGAAAAGTTAAAAGGAGAGAAAAGGTGAACAAAGCAAACCATCACCTGACCAACACTTGCATGTCAAAGAGGTGAAACTGATTCTGAAAAAAGGTAACATCACTCTACCTTTGCAGCTTTTGCAACGTCTGCAGTTGGGGAAGAAGTTTATCTGGTCCATGTATTGTCTGTCAGGGCAACGTGAGCAGTTACTTCTCTGACCCACAGTATGACACTGTTCTGTAAGCCTAAAACCTGGAAAACATGAACATCACATGTGAGACTTAAGACTTTGTAGAATGGATTTGATAGAAGAAGACATCTGCCTGTGTGATATTTTCAATAATGAGCATGCTACTGTCAATCATGTGTGGTGTGCAGGAGGCCATGATGTACCTGGAGGGCATTTGTTGCAACAAATTCCCTTGTCATTAGGATAGTCACCATCTGGACACAATGATGTCAAACTGGGGATGAAAACGCACTGCAAAGAAAACACAATGAATGTACAACGAAAAACTTTATTGTCCATCACATGACAGTTAGTCAACAAACGCAGACACTGCGTTCATCACCTGCAATTTCAACGTGTTTAGTGAAGTAAGTGTTTCTCACCATAAGGAGCAGTATTGTGCCAACATGGCCTTTTTTATTCCAGCTTCCTCTGTGGACGCCTCCCTCCATTATCTCTCAGATTAAACTCAATCCATCTGAGGTCAACTGCAAGGAAAACTATATGTATGTGAGTTATATTAAAGTCCATCTACCACTACTAATTAAAACTTATAATGCCTTAAATGTATAACTAAGTCAAGATTAATTATCTGTATTAATGACACAGGTTTAAAAAACAACAACTTAGTGTTAGCATCATGTTTTTCAAAAGGTATTACTCCAAAGAGCTCTATAGCACCACCAATAGGTCACAGTTTACACTAGAGTCCATGACAGGATCTTTCTAAAAATTATTATAATAATAGATAATCCTATAATAATAATCTTTATTTATACAGCGCTTTCAAAAACATAGTTCAAACAATAAAAATAAATGTAAAATAAAGCCAACAATAAAGATATATACTAATAGTAAAACAGAACAAGGCCTTTTGGCATTAAAACAGTGGGCTAGAATGAATAAAATAACAGCCTGGCTCACAGGGAAGCAGCAGTTCAACAATGTAGCTGGAACCATGACGTGCTTTAAAAGTAATCAGTAAAACCTTAAAATCAATTCTAAAACTAACAGGTAACCAGTGAAGAGGGGCTAAAACAGGGCTGATGTGATATTGTCTTGTCAATATTTGTTTAAAGCTGAGTGTCTGCGTTTGTTGCCAGCTGAAGGTGTTAAATAGTTTGTTTTGGCTCCTAAATATTGTGAGTTAACATAATAATCTTATCAAGATGATAAAGGTCACTGTCAAATATAACACCCAGGTTTCTTGCCGCAGGTTTGATATGTGACGACAGGAATCCAAGATAATTCTGTAATATAGGGATTAATCTGGGGGATTGGAGAGAATTATTTCCCATTTGTTTTCGTCTAGCTGGAGGAGGTTTTGGGACAAAATAGCCTTCTTCACTGTTTTTAATGGGACATAAATGTGTGTCATCTGCATAATGGTACTGGATTTTGTGTTTTTAAATATCTGTCCCAGTCGTAACATGTAGAGAACAACAAGGGTCCAAAGACGTAGCATTGGGAAACACCATAGGTCACAGGGGCCACTGAGGAGAATACTGTTTGCTAATTTCTCTCTGGTGCTGTTATTTAGTTTATTTCCAGCTTTCAAACAGCTGCTATGGAGTCAAGTACAGCTTTACATGTGTTTCTGTAGTTGTTTAGTAAATATGCTGTAGACATATCAGATGTATGGTTATTGCTATGTTTAGATGCAGTAGTGAATGCCTTGTGAAATATGTCAATATTACCTTAAAAAGGGTCAGTATGCCAGGACCAACTGTTCCTGTATGTAGCATGGAACAGTAATAGGCCTAACTGCAGTCATGGTTAGTTTCACAGGTGATTTTTATCAACACCTAAGCAAATAAATGAAACAATCTGCAAGGTCAGCTACAGATAAGCAAGAAATTATGTTAAATATTATTAGTTATTTGGATAAAATGTAAAAGCCACTGTCTTTTAGTTTGTTTTAATGCATAATAGCATATCTTAATGTACCCTTAAACTAAGGAATTTGAAATTAATGGCAAATTGTTGGCTGAATTTGTCAATTAGGTTGTCTCGATTGCGCCATAAAACGTAAGTAAGTGATTTTAGGGGATTCAACACACATAAAGTAAGGTTATTTCATGGAATATGTGGTTCGCAGAGACATTCCCTATCACTTGTTTGGCAGCTTCCCTGATGCACTGAAACGCATTTCCTGAACTTTTACAACTGGAGTAATTTTATAACCTTCAAAACTCAACCTGACGACTTGGCTTACGTGTTTACAGATAGCGTTAACGTTACTATTTAAGAGGTAAATCTACAGTCAAGATATTACCGTTTTTGTTTCTTGTCTAAATGGTTTCGTTTTAAGTAGGCTGCACACCACATTACGCCCACTGCCTGATATGAATCTCCCCTTCCCACAGACTGACATGCAGAGGTATTTTACCGCCACTTACCTGGACGGCCAGTGTTACGGCGAGGGGTATCTCTTTACTTCAGGTCCATATGTCCACATGAATATTATCTGTAAGTTAGTTTACTTTTTTGTTTTTACTGAGAGCAGACAGACGCTGCCGTTGCCCCTCTCTGCCAAGCTCGGGCGGAGGCGGACTCAAACGGGAAATAGCTGCGTCACGAACACATTTCAAGGAATTGCGAAGAAGTGTTTGGCAAGAAGGCTGAGGGCAAAAACACATCTTAAACATAGGCTATATAATGGGCAAATTGAGAGGTTAGCGCCGATAAACACACAGGTGCATGGCAGTTCACAAATCCATTAGACCACATTCACCATTACATTCATTTTTAATAAGGGACTGTTCTTTATTTTATTTTTTAAGAACTGGGTAGGGACCTATGTTTTTACTTTGGGAACAGGAGAGGGACATAGGCTACATAACTTTTAAATGCTTGTTTTTTTTGTATTTATGTTATATAGGCTAGGTTATTTTTATCATTTTCAAAATAGGCTACTTAACATTTACTCCCACAACTAAACCTTATTGGACCTCAAACCGAGTATTTTTAATGCGTTCTCGTTATCCACATTGAAATCCGATCTCTGTCCTCCAGAGAAAAACCTGCACGTGAGTAGGCTAGATTGAGGTGTAGGCAAATCTGCCCCAGACTCCCCAAAAATATCAGTTTTGTGAGTTGGTGAGTTAGGGGGCACTTTAAATACTTTATGAGACGCACTCTAGACCAATTCTTAATCATTTGTCCCCTCTTGTAAATTCTGAGAATGTAATACTACATTTTTTCTTTATATGAAAAAAATGTGTCAGTTGTGTGTTTCTGTGTGTGCTGCGTGAGTGTGTGTGACGTGTAGGCTCATTAAATGTTGGGTTTGAGGGCTGGCTGCCATGCATCCACATTCTGCTGTCCACACACAGCTTGTGTGATGATTGGGCGATAATTAGCTGGTTGTATTTGTGAAAGCTCTCACTCCCTCCTTGCTGTTTGCTCTTTGCATCGGCTGCACTAAGTTATCATCTTAATTTTGTTTCAGAGCTGGAACTGTCATAGTATCTTGGGCAGTAGGCTACCTATTGGTGAGGACACAGTGAGCTGGGCTGGTTGTTTGCTTTTTTTCCCTGATGAGGGAAGGGGGGCCTGAGGGCAAAGGTTTAAGAGTAACCCTGTGAGAGCTAATGGTTGGGAAAGTCATTGCTTATTATTTTCTCCAAATTAGTAGAACTTAACGCACTGTAATTAAGGGCACCATAATTTAAAAAAGTAGTATTTGATTAAGGTGGTACTTAAGCAGGCCAGCAGAGTGTACCCTCACGTGACATTGCTCATACAGTATACACGAAAGAGCTCAGTCAGCAGAGTAAGACAAATGCTTCCTCAGAAAAACCACATCCTTCCTTTTCACTGAGCAATGTTCATCTCTCTACTTCCCCTACCGCCCATTGCTATCTATATTTCTCAAGTTTTCAGATACCTACACTGCCATATGTTGCAGGCAGACGCTTTAATCTTCACGCAGATGCTGGTGAGTTTCATGCAGCCTGTGCAACCAGCTCTGAGTCTATATGTAGCAAACGCTTTTGTGTAGTATCTGTTTACTTCATCACAACACTGTTGACATGTTCCTGGCAAAGAGTCCTCTTAAGTTCTAATCAAACATACTAACCCTTACAGTCAAGCAGCCTAATACTGAAACCTCAAGATAAGCATGACCAGGTTTGCTCTCAGTCAGTTCAGAGTGGTTTTGATGCGCAGTCATCTCTCTTCCAGTCATCTTCGTACTCTGTTTGAGTGGTGCTGCTCACCAAGAGCCACACTGGCCTCAGAGACAGCCCCTTTATGATGCTGCTTTGTCACCCTTAAGCCAGTTCACGTGTTGTGGCCTGGTTTTTGTGAAGAAATGACAGGCGTGCACATGATTGCCAAATGGTGGAAGTGCTGCCACTCAATGTCTAATTCAGTTGATATGGATGAGGAAATAAAGGATTTTTTTAAGAGATAGACAGGCAGTCAGTCAAGAAAATTAAAGAACATGGTTTAGTAAGTGTTTGGGAAAGATTTTCACACAAATGCAAATGAGCTGTTTACCACTAATAAACTAATAACACAAAAAGCTGTCCCACCTACAAAGTTTATACTGTAATAGAAGGAATTTCCCCAGACATTCACTTACTCTGTTTATTGCCAGCAGCATTTTACTCTCGTTTTGGACAATTCAAACCTTAGTTGTCTACACAAGTAATTTTAGTAATTTTAGCTACCACACACAGATTATTAACTGTAATGCAGTTAGGAGTAACTCAGACAAAAGTGCCCTAAACCCTCTAAATAAAACATAACAAATCCGATCCAGTTTGCCCCTTTCAATATGTTGCAGGTCACTACATCTGAAAGCAGACATATCAGTTCACATTCATGATACAATGAGTAATGTCACTTTTTAATAAAGAATTTTTGTCTTATCTTTGCCTTTGGTGTTGTTATTAGGAACCTCTTTAAATTGCTCACTCTTGTCTGTCATGAAGTTGCAGAATATCTCATTAGCATAACACCATTTCTTGGAATAATGTTCATCTCCTCAACAGCTTTCTGTAAGAGCAACAGGATGGCTTGGAGTTAAATGACTGGTGTATGATATTTTACTGAAATGACCTCATCATCCAAGTCTAAGAAGGAGAGAAAGAAAGAGGTAGGGACAGATGCACGCCAGAGAACGAAAGCGTGAGGTTGTTTGCAGCCAAAAGATTGATTTTGGATGAAACGAGAGAGATGGTGCCTGTGGAAAAAAAGTGGAGGCTGGTGGAGGGCATGTTTTTGTGCACAGAGCCAGGGGGTCGCAGCAAAGAGACAGAGACAGGATGAAAGATTTCAAAAGTTCCGGTAAAATGTTACACTTTCATTATGAGTCATCACGACATGTGTGAATGTGAATAATCCCCTGACACACTTCTGGTCCCCTGTTCAGTCTCACACTCAGAGGGTCCCAGGTTAGATGTTGTCTCACCTCCTCATCCACAGTAAGTAAAGACTTTCAGCTGTAGCTGTAAAACCTTTTGATTAAACTGTCCTGTTGTATTGAATGTTAGTAGACTTATGTTCATGTAATCTCAGGATTTAAGCTCTGTAAAGTGTTTGTATTAGTCTGATATTCTTTATCAGTACTATTGTGTTATATGTAACATGTTATATATATTTTTTCCAAATATGCAATGTGTGTGTACAGTATATCGTGGAGCCTCACTGCCAAATTCTTTGTCTATTATGACTTGTGTGAATACTATAAAGCCCAGATAGACTTTAGTCATTTTTATCAACAATGGTTGTTTTACTTCCACTAACGTTAGCATGTGAAGATATCTGACTAAATAAATCTTTGTTTTCCTCCTCCTCCTCTTTCTGCTCATCCTCCTCCTCTTTTTTTCCTATTCCCAGATGAAGCCACGCTGTTATTTTGCTTTTACTTTCCTGTACGCCCTCTCTCTCTTCTCTCCTATGCTTTCCATACAGTGCAATCAGACACAATATCCCTGGCCAGTGGACAACCCCTTGTCGTGCTGTAACAGGTGCCAACCAGGTACAATGGCTTCTTTTTTTATCATCACAGATTCCATAGTTTTGATGCAAACAAGCAATAACTGTGAATAACTGTGTGAATTGCAGGTGAATATATGATGCGGCGTGCATTCAAGAGTTGTGAAATTACGTGTCAAGCCTGCCCAGAGAACTTTTATTCTGATAACTACAATGTGGAGATGGCCTGCAATTTGTGTTTAAATTGCACTAAACGTGAGTAATTTCACAGCTTTTGTCTTAGGGGTCTGGTGCTAAGTATGTGTGAGGCCTGAACTGTGTGAAATTTAGACCTACAACAGAAACCGCCATTGATAATAGCAATGATATTATTATGGTTTATATGATGTTGTATATTAATTTACAGCCACTGCTAACAGATATTCAAGAATATTTTAAAGGGGGGGGGGTTCTTGCTCATATAGGAGATATAAACCATTTTCTTTACATCGGCAATATGCAAATATGATTACTAGTCTGTATCACTATGAGATATGCAGGTTGAAGAAGTCTGCTGAAAATGTTAATAAATAGAGCTGAAACACAGAAACACAGAGCAATGGATGTCAAGTGGTCATATCTGTGATTAAACAGTACTCTGAAAATACTATCTATCATTTCAGTCCCCCTTGTGAAGCAATGTGGTTCCCTGTTTATTTTGTGTATGTGTGAAGTCTGTCTTTTTGAGCAAGACATGTAAAGTGATTCATCAGTGGACCAACCACCAACTGTGTCCAGGTACAGCACTTTAGAGAAGAGTTGTTACTCAACTCTGTCTGTAGATCATGCTTTCAGAGAAGTTAATACAACCCTAAAGTCACACATGCGAGGGGATTTCCCATTACATCTGTCATGGTGGGATCCAGTCAGACAGAAATTCAAAGGAGGAGGGGATGGGGGGTCTGAGAAACCCTCAGTGAACCAGCTCAGAGGGTTATCAGGGTGGGATTCTGCAGAATGGTACATGCTAATAACCCCACCATTAGTAGCAGCGCAGCCCACCAATGGTGGTAAAACAGAAGGAGGTTCAAAAGGTAGACCATCGTCAGTGGAAAGAAGAAAAAAGAAAAACACAGAAAAGTGGTAAACATCGGAAAGAGCAGCAGACATAAATGTCATATCCTATGTTATTACTCAGGTCTCTGCCCTGCAACAGGTGAGCAAAAACTTGTTATGCTTATTTTTAAATGTCACTGTGGAAAGCATAGAAGACAGAAAACACAGAAGTGAGAGAAAGTATGTGATTCTCTGAATTTATGGGTACATGGATATTTGAGGAGAGTTTGACTTTTACTTGCGCACCAAGACACTTTCTTGACATATTGTAATCAAAAGGTTAGCATATTTCAACCCAATGTTTCAGTGCAGCTGCAAACAATGCAGCTTTTAATCCTTTAATCTGAAATTACATGTAGAACTCATTGATAGTTGACTTTATAAAACCTATATAAATATTTATTTGCTGAATTTGGGGGGATGAAGGTGGGTGTTGAAAATGTCAATAAAACACTAATCCTACACATGCAGGGGCTTTATGTCAATTAACGGCTATGGAAACTAATTTAGTTGGAAATTATTCAACCCACACAAAAATCTCACAAACTTCTCTTGCAATACAACAGCGTTTCTTTGGTTATACTTTGGTCCTCATCAGGGTGTTAACTATTTGCAAGGATTTGGATGTGCAAACCGAGTTTCAAAGCAGACTTTAGTACTAATTTGCCTTCAGTATAACATTTTCAGTTCCTAAATCCCCTTAAATGATGTCAGTTACTTCAGTTATATCTACTTCACTGAATCGCAGTCACCCATAACCTTTGCGCTTATTTCTGTCTTTTACTTTCTTTATGATAATCTTAGAATCTTAGAATAATAGCAATTTGAAGACTTCCAAAGTTAATCTTTTTACATTGTACAATAATAGATCATCGTGGACAGCAGAGTGAATTAGTGAGTGGGGTAACAACCTCTCAACCTTGCTAAAGAACCCCTGAACAAGAATCCCTGCCAGCTCCAAAATCTCCAGATTAACTGCTCTGTGGTGAAAATGTGACCTCCGGGTGAGGACAAGCAAAAATAATATCACCATACATTGCCAAATCTAAGAGTTTATTAATCACTTGCAGAGGTTTTGTAATCTGTTCTAAAATATTCAATTTAAATGTTCCTTGTGGAGACATTTCATTGTCAGCATTGGGAAACTGGGGTGCCAAGGCATGAGTGTACTGAAGATAATAATGTAGTAATTATGTAATTAGATCCAACAAACATACTGAAAATGTGTCGGTTTTTGAGGTTACAATTAAGTTTTAGCTAAAGACACTCTACATGTGCTGTTATGTCAGGTCACGTACAAAATGTAACCACTAAGATCGGAAGTTCTCTATGGACTGTAACCTTTAATGACACAAAATGATAACTATTTATGATGTCATAATCTATGTTGGGCTGGTTATTAAAACAAATATTTTTGTGATGACTATGGCTCCATGGGGGTCAAATAAGTAGTTTTCTCTTTGTTAATTTGTGAATTCATATTGAAGTGTGCATGTTGCATGTTATAGCATTCAGTAAGACAGAAAATGTTTCATCAAATTGAAATACTGCTTTCACTGAGAAATTTCAGCTGTCTGTCTCTAAAGAAGAGGTATCAAAAGTGATAATATAACCGTCATATGACTTAAACCCAGAATCTTTACCTGTCATGCCCAGTTTGTGAGTCATTTCTCATTTTCTGATTTATCTCATTGTTTAAAGACATCCTTTGTGTGTACATGTTTGTTCGTCACAGACATACTCAGAATTATGATTATACTTTAAGTAACAACTGTTGTTATTTGTTGCTTTTTTACAGCAAACATGGAGTTTGAGTCAAAATGTAACCCCGCTCATCCGGCTGTGTGCAGATGCAAAGCTGGCTTCAAATGCAAAGACCAACCCTGCACACAGTGTGTGCCAATGCAGACCACTACCCCTACAGGTAGGACACTCCTCCACACAGCCAACCAAATTTGACCCATAGCTATTGAAATAGCAGAAAATGTTTTTAACACTTTGCATTACAAAGTTTGAGTCACCTGACAGTTAGCTGCAGCATCACAGAGGAAAGCTAATAGTAGATAAGGAAAGACATTCTCAATTAAGTTCTACATATAATATGGAAAACCCTGGGAAACAAACTTAACACCAGGATGAAAGGTTACCGTAGACATAACCATTTTACTGTAAACTGTTTCTCTAGCTTTTCTGGTTCAGCATCTGTTGCACCACAGCCAACGTTACTGTGGTGTTAGAGCATACAGGTTGAACCAACCACCGCCAAGATTTTTAGCGAAGTTACTCATTAAATAACTTGATTTGTGTAGTTTTTAAGTGCTGTGCATTATATGAGAGATATAAATATATAGCCACCATACCTTTACCTTGGAACTACATACATTCTAGTTTATTAGTGTGATTAAAAACATAAAGACCAGCTGGTTTTACAGCTTGTGACTTTATTGTTTTGGTTCACTCTCTCTACATACTCCTCAGGCTTGTTTCCAGCACAGCAGGCAGCTGAAAAACCAACTGTATGCTACCTGCCCAGCACTAAACGCATGCAGATAAAGTTAGCAACTAGCTTGTGAACAAAGTGGAGCATTTAGCAGCTAAAGAGCCAAATATCTCCCTCTGGAATTGTTGGAGAACCAAACAGAGCTAAAAGGAGAGAGAGGAACATAATAGATGACTTCGAATGAACGCTAATGTTGCTGTGTATCTGCTGGATGTGTAATGTTTGAGGGGATAATGTGTGAAGTGTTTTGCTGCCCCAAAGCTATTAATACTGCTTTAAAGGACAGTAGATTCAGCTGTCAGAGGTACTACGCAGATTTAGACTGTGTAATTGATTTCTTCCATGATGGTTTTTGCACAACAAAATATTTTGTTCCATCTGTTTGATCATTTGGCATAAAAAGGGGGTCTTTGTTCTTTTAATGGACCCGTCACTGCTTTAAAACCAGAATGCTAAAACAGCAGGAATGGCAACATGTTGCCGCACAACACAATACTGGTAACAGTAATACTTCCGTGTTGATTTAATTATTAAAAAAAATACAAATTAATCAGTTGATAATAATGTTGATAAAGTCTTTACATGTTCTGACCTCAGTTAGTGACTGTTTGTTTACTGGAGTAAGGTCATACACACAAGGTGGCTCGAGTTAAATATAAATCGCCTTATGTGATTATAGCCTACATCCAGACTTCCTGACCAGAGTATTAAAAATAACGGACCTCAGAGTGAGCTCACTGACTAATCTGACCAATGAACAATTTATTTAAAGTATTACATGTGTCTGCACTGAGCTGATCAATTGTTTTAATCTCTTCCCCTCAGCTGTGAAACCTGTCACCCTCACCACACTCTGGGTACCCTCTAAACCACTCAGAGGTAAAGTAAGCTACAAGTTCTGTCTGTGCCAATAAAAACAAGGAAATCCACTGGGTGTTCATCTAAACTTTTCAAAAACTTACTAATTCTTACAGATACTGTGTGGTTCCTGGTGATAATTGCCCTCCTTTGTGCAGGATTTGCACTAATTGTTGCAACAAAAATCAAGCCATTTCTGCGCTGGATCAGATCCAAGCACGGTTAGTAGATTATTACTATGGAGCTGATAACCCTGCAGCAATATACAAATATATCAAGTACACTGAGCATAGTATCTTTTTTCATTTTATAATGTGCACAAATGTATGTTTTTCATTATCTAATGTTATTTTTATGTAGTATTTCAATCTAATCTATTCCTTAAAAAAACACTCCCCTATTCTCTTGTCAATCAGGCTACTTTTTGGCTTCAAAAGCTGCAACGGTACCACCATGCTCCCAGGACGATGAAGTATCCACGCCTGTCCAGGAAGTGTGTGGGAAATGTGACCAACCTATTGATGTATGAGTTAAGAACTAGAGCCGGAACTTGGATTAGCAAGTATTTGACAGGTGGACATTTAGTCCACACACCAGATGCAAAAAATCTCTTGTTGCTTTGGACTTCATGACAAAGGGAAGCAAAAGTCACTCGGTCCACGCTGACGAATGGAGCCACAGAAAACAAGTGTTTCAAGATCGATGCTGTGACTGACATCTGTGACTCTGAGGTGATAAAAGTGTATATAACACAGAGAGTGTTACACTGTGACGGTTATGTATGAGTTGTGCACTATGTTGTGGTATGTACTATAGTACACAAAAGTTAAAGATATTTTACAATCTTTACATTTATATATAAATAATTTTTTGATCAGATTATTCATATCACGTTAATGTTTTTTTTTACTTACATACATTTCTACTTTATTCTTCTTCAAAATAAAATTTTATTGTGATCAAAATGCCCAATATTTCTTCAAAACATTAAGCATTCAGGTCTTATACTTTAGAAAGAGCTGACAGAGCTTATTAAAGAATATTTACAAGACATTTTAAATAAAATTTACAAAGGAAATCACCTCTCAGGTGTTCCTACCAGAGTTAAAGTTTCTCGTGTGCTCCGGCCACAGGTTTTTCCAGAACCTGCTGATGAAAATGTCTCTGCAGAACGCTGTGATTCACAGTTCACCAGAAAAAGATGAATCTGCTCCACACTCATCTGTGGGTTCACAGTTTTACAGTTTCTTCCTTTTAAAAGAATGTTTTAGGACCGGTCTGGATGGCAGTGTAACCACCAACAAAAAATCTTTGTTTATTTGCACGATGCATCATAGTGCCTCCTCTTTGGACACATGGCAGTCCTTCCCCTGCTCCTGGGAGGGAAAGAAAATGCTGTCAATCTCTCCGCTCCTCTCCTCCTCAGAGAGATGAATACTGGGAGAGGATGTGGGATGAAACACAGGACAGTCTCTCTCGTCTTCCTCTTCGCTGTTCCCTCTTTGGGCCATCTTCCCACCTTCAATTGTAGGACCAACCTGGCCTGTAAACTGACTGAGCAAGCTGAAGATGACTGTCCCAGGATTATGGACATGGACTGGACCTGCAGAGACAAGAACAAAGCAAAGAGTGCATTTAAAGGAATGTTTTAATTGACCCATGGAAGCACATTAAGTATACAATATACAGTTTACGGAGTAGGACAATTATGTACACTTCACAACAGTAACACAGCTGCATCTTTTACATGTTTTATTGATGACCCCACAAAGTGAGTCAAATATTTCACATGAAAGTCTTCATTTCACTCATCAATACCCAGATTGGCTGCTGAAACTGACGACGACTGCTGCTTTGCACTGGATGAGTCTATGGAGAACTGATGAGTTGACTCCTTCAGCTTATGAGAAGCATCTCTACCTCCCTAAAGAAGAACATGTCCAACAGTGTGGGGCAAATAAAAGTGAAATGATGGCACTTATGTTGGTAAATGATGAATGAAGCTTTGACATTAGCTACTTACCTTGTTGCGTAGCTTTGCAATAGCTGGAAAACAGCAGATAAATGAATGAGTAATAGAAAGTCAGTTTCTCTACACATGTCTACCAATGATGAATCAACATATATATATATATGATTTACACAGCAACTAACCATCTATAACATATCTGCAAAGCTAATGACACATTTCTAATCATAGAAATTTCCAAAGGCTTTCAGTTAACTGTTTATTGTTTCCCAGAAGTGATGTGATTGTAAAGTTCAGGTTTGACTGATTAAACTGAGACACCAGAAACTGAACATGTCCCTGATGTAAACACCATCTTACCTTGCTTGAAACATGATTCATCTCCGGGGCGTCGTACAAAGAACAGGATTACAAGAGCCATGCATCCCATGGCAACCACTGGACACAAGATGGCGGCCAGCTGACTGCGCGTCTTGTCTGAGAGAAAGAAAAAAATTGAATTGGAGAAATTTAGGTTTTGACCTGATTATGGTACTAAAGGCAAAGTCAGGGGATCACCAGAGTTATTACAATTCGTCCTGAGTGGAACATTTTTAAGGTAATCCATCCACTGGCTGTGGAAACCTCAAATGTGAACCGCCTGGTGGTGCTAGAGGAAAATTTAGGGGATCACCAAAGTCAGTAGTCATTCACCATCTGGAAACTATTAATGTTTGAACATAATTTTGTGCCAATCCAACCAATAGATGTTGAGATATGTTACATTATAAGTAAAAAGTTTGAGCTGCTGGTGGCGCTACAGGCAAAATTATGGAATCACCAAGGTAAGTAGGATTTTACATTGTTTTTGAAATTAGATCAACCTCTGGGTTTCATAAATATACAATTCTATGGCAATCTACCCAATAGTTTCACTAAAAGCCATAAAAGTCAATCTGCTGGTGGCACAAGAGGAAAAGTCATGGGATCACCTACATCAGTAGGATTCCAATATCAATGACAAATGTCTAAAACATTTCAAGGAAGTCCATCCAATAGTTGTTGTAGTTCCTCAAAAAAAATTATTTGAAAATTTTGTACACTCTCCACATACATTGCCCTCACCTGTTTCAAGATGTGGGCCAGTTGTAGACTTTGGGACTGACCGAGGGCCACACCTGTGTGAGTAAAGTGTAATATGTCAAGTATCTTAAGTATGTGACCTCGTGAACAATGACAGTCTGCAAAATCTGTAATGTCTGTACCAAATGCTAAAATAATGTAATATACGGCGACCTTGAGAGCATTTTAAGTTTTTGTGGAATTTTGAAACTCCATTCTATGAGGTATTTATTATGCACTGTATCTAGGGAAATCAATGACTCACTCAGGAAATGTGCAGGGTTTGGAGGAAGAGCTGCTCTGTCCTGAGGAAGTTGAGGAAGCTGTGTGTTTACCTTTATCTGAGGTAACAGCTGCTACTTCTGGAGAACAAACACATCACATGTTTGGATTTAGATTTAAAAGGATGAATACAGGACCAAACATGTCTGGGCAATGGCGGCAGCCTAAATGCAAACAGTACAGGTGTATATGAGAAATATCCACAGGTGTGAGAGAGTGGGCAGACATATTGGTTACTGTGATGATAGGTAATCTTTCCTCACATTTCCTCCACTTAAAAACGAATATAGAAGCCAAACTAAATTCAAACAACGAGGAGGGATCTGAGAGTTTAAAGGGAAACGTGCTTCACCAGATGTAATACCATGTATTACAGTATGAGAACGAAAAATCATTCCTCAGCACCATCTTTTGTTTCTGAATACGTTTAGCTGGCAGTAACTTTGCAGATTAGAAGTTTACATTGTTTTTCTTGAAATTAGATCAAATAGACACTGTTACATACAGTATAGTAGAGTATGCACTGGGTAGTGTCCGGCCGGGTACTGGAGGGTTGCATGTCATTCCCATCTCCCTCTCCCCTCAATTCGCTCTAATCTCTCTACAATCAACTATCCATAAAGTCATTAAAAGGTCCAACTAAAAGTACACTCAGAGGTTTCTAAAGTACCAGCTTTTCTGATATGATCTTGTTCCAGCCTGATTGCAATGCATTTCTGACATAAATACACTGGGCAAGCGTTCTAGAGACCTTTCATAAGAATAATATTAAATCCATTTTTTTTCATATTTCACATTTCATATACCTATAGCTCTCTTTTTTCAATATTTCATTATTTCTTATTACCAATGTTTAGAAGACCTTATATTAAAATGAGTAAAATTACTTTTGATGCTTAGGTATATTTTCCTGCTAATACCTGCTTGTCTTTACTAGTAGTATGTATGCATTACTTAATGCATGGTTATTAGTAATAATGGTGTATTTTCAAATTGTAGTAGTACAAGTTTAAGTAAAGGATTTGAATATTTCTTATAGTACTGCTCACCTCACTGAGGGGGAGCCACCTAACTTTTGTAAATAACTAATCCTATAGCCTTTGGTATCATTATTGGTTGTTCTCTTACAGTCAGTGAAGTATATTTTGTTTATCATGAGGCCCCCTGCTGGTTGAGGGCAATAAAAGTGTGCACTGTAAAGTATTTACCAGTTGTGGTTGTTTCCTGGATCTTGGCACAGTCTCTGCAGTTTGTTGTGTATGGAACAGTGGCAGTGCATCTGTAACCAGCCTCACAGATACACTTCACATCGGACTTGCTGGTGCAGTTCTGACTCACCTTCAGATGTAAATCTGAGACGGTGGAAGATAGAGGGAATTTTAGGGATTTTGATCACAGAAAAGAGAATGAGATTAAACGATTTTACGTTTATTATAGAAACCTAGAGGTCACTAGTATCATCAGAGTCCCGACGAGCATGGATGAAACTGTTAACTTGGCAAAAATGACTCATAGTTTCTTTACCTGGTCTGCAGTCTCCGTAGCAGCGATGGCAGTCGTTTTCTCGGTTCCAGTCAGTTGTGTAGGTTCCAGCAGGACATCGCTCACACTCGTTACAAGACTTCTCATACTCACCTGACAGAACAGAAAGAAACAAATGAGAACGACCGGAAGACAAGGAGAGCAGAGAGAGAGTCTGCTCGCCCGGGGTGCATATTAATGAAGGATGTGGTCGTACAACACACACTCAGTGTGAAGCGTGCGTCATTTTTCATCAAGACAGACGGAGACACATGCAAAAAAAACAAGACACACAGAGAAAGAAGGATAGATACTAGTAGATAGATACAGTGCTTCATAGTAATTTCCAAATGTGAAGCACTGCTGATTCATAAATTTAAAAACAGTGAGTCAAAGCAAAACGAGGAGAAGACAGAAAAACAGATACAGAAGTAGAAGAAGCACACGCCAGTTATTGTGCTATTCTTACCTGCAGGGCACATTTGACACCTTCTGCCATACATAGTGTAAAACCGGATCCCATCTGTCTGTTAACACATGAATACAATTAGACACGAACCACTCTCCTCCAGCAAAGTCCTGATGAACATCTTTATACATGTACAGTTTGGACATCTGACAATTTGAGCAAACATCAGTAGGTCTTGTCTTTAAGATTTTACAATTATTTAGGTTGATAAACTGAAGAGGAAGGACATTGTTACCACTGGAGAGGAGAGCACCCACTGTGCGGATAACATCAAGACAATCACAAAACATTGCACAAGTCCCATCCTATGGAGAAACAATTTAGAAAATGTACAAATAAGTGGCAGATATCAAGTGGTCAGCTTAAAAACACCACACTGAAAAGCCCAGCAAACCCATTTAAGTTTAGTGCACCAGCAACATTTCTCATCTTATCATATCTTTAATAAGGCGTGACTTTAAAATGTAACAAAAAAAATCATTTTTACCTTCAGTTGGTCTTTTGTTCTCCTATTGTTTTGTTAACTTCCTCAAGGTGTGACTCTCTCTCTTTGTTTCTCTCTGTCCTCTCACTCACTCTACCCATCCTCTGTGTCACTGTTTCCTTACCTGGTTACATCTTCCTGACTTCCTGTCTCCCCCGCCCACTGATCTCTACCAGTCTGCCGCGGTCCTTTTTATTCAAGTTCTCACACACAGAGGCCCTTGCACATTCTGACTAACGTTTCTGAACCCTTATCACTTTCCGTGCAAACTGTAAGATCTGACAAAGACTGAATCAAACTACAGTTCTCTGTAGAGTTGAGTTCAGTTGTGTTAACAACCCAATAGAGGAGCAGATCGCTTTGATAGTGATGGTTAGGATTTAGATTTTAAGTCTCGTTATATTTTTAATCATATTTAAGTGCATTTAATTAGATGTTCTACACATTCTAAGTTTTCTTCAGCTGAAGAGGAAGGGCATTATTATTAGTGTGTAATGGGATCTGAAGTTCAATTACACAATCAGTTCACTCAAAATAAAAAAAATAATATAAAAAACCCTCACTCATTTCATGCAGATAGTGGAAGTATTGATAATTGAGAGTATTAATACATCCAGTCGTTAACGGCAAGAACACATTTTAATTAGTGTTATTGGTTGCATTTGAAGCAATACGTTTTACATCCAATCAAAGTTAGGATGTTAACAAATAAATCAAACAATGCAAAAGCAGTTTATTGATATTCCCAAAGGTATGGTCTTGAAATAAAATCCCGAGTCCTCAATGTCCAAGACAAAACCGAGGACAAATGCGGTCGAGTCGAGACCATGACCATCAAAAAGTGGTCTTAAATCTTTCTACATCCTGAAGTCTACCAAACAATGTCAATGTGTGGATAGTCTTAATCAGAGTCACAGTCAGTGACTGAAGTAGGCTAGTACTCACCAGCACACAGTACCGGACTCTATGACACGGTCTATACTTTTTCTTGCACACAACTAACAAACAAGTGTTATGCTGAATTCTGCATACCCACTGAGAATTGCAAGCACCTCCAACTGCTGCTTAAAAACGGTATAATATTCTTTGTGGAGTTCAAGTGTATATTTTTTGAACGCTTGGAGTGTTTTAGTAGAATTAGCATTCCTTGACATTCAGCAAAAGTAAGCGCTGATAACTACATTTGATCAATGTGCACAACAAAGTGTCTGAAAAGAGGCGGATGCCTAATTCGGCAGAACAGATAATGTAGGCTATTTGCAGCCACTTTTTTTCTCAGTAGGCCTATATGCTATGCTATTCTCGGCAGGCATGCAAAATTCGGCACAACACCGGCCCTTTTTCTGCCCTCTCCACTGACAGAGACTGAGTAGGGAAAAGATTGGGTGCCAATGCAAACGCCAACATGTGAACATGTGAATGGGAAGCACTGGTCACGGTGCTGACAAATGAATGCTGGTCACCCTGGGGTGCAGGCATTGTGTGCCCAGAGACTGCATGGGGCACTCTGTAAAAATATTAAAATCAAGAAAGTCCTTATTTATATGTATAGGAGCTAGCTAATGGCTAGCTAATGATCTGAAAATTAGCAGGGGAGAAATGCATCACATAGCCTAAGAAACTACATTTCAATATAACATAAGTCATACAATTTTATCGCAAAATCTACTAAACAAAATATGGTCAAAAATTTTACTTTCTTACCTCAAAATCATTTTTTTCTCTATATATTCTGAATTCTGAATCATTAAATTGCAGCTGGTCGAGGTGGAACTCGTTTTTACTACTTTATATATAGTTTGGTCATTTAGTCTGGTTGTCCTTGTAGTGAAGATAATGGGTAGACACTCAGTCTATGTACTAGTTCTGGGTTTTCATAAAGTTCACTCAGGTGTGTCGGCCAGAACACCACTTAGGCCAAATGTTCCAGAGTATGAAATGATGAGCGGAGGGATAGTTCTTATTCTGTTTCTTTATTCCTCTTTGTTTTGTGAGTGAGTTTGAGGATGAGTGTAATGCTAAGTGTGGTTTCTATAAAGAGAGAAACAAATACAAATGAATAAAGGAAACATATGCACACACTCATTTCTCCTTAAGCACTAATATACATTACCAAACATAACAAAAACAATAGTCAGAATATGAGATTTTCTACTATGCGTTAAGTTCCCGCTAACAGACAGCACTTCCTGTCATCTTTGATACGCTTTATAGCCTCCACCTGACTAAACGGCTGGCTGCTTTTATTATGAAAAACCCCGTACCGGATACTATGTTCCGTTCGAGCTAGCAAGGCCTTGATTCAGAAGTCTCGATAGCGCTCCAAATAGCAATATTTAACACCACTTACTTCTTATTCTACTCCACCACCAAGTACTGAACAATCCTAACAACAAGTAACAGTAAAGTATGCGCATGTCTAAACACGATATTACATATTTTTAACCCGACGTACCGAATCAGATGAGCCGAAGCTCGAAAGTGAATGTACGAATGCGGAAATAATTAGCACCACGGTCGCGTAGCGACCCCTTGAACTCTTAACCACATCAAACAGCAGAAATAACAACTGGTTTGACAAGTAAATACAATATCACAGATGTACTTACTCTTCTCATTTACGCACACAGAAAGGTGCAGCTCACAACTACAATCCAGCTGACCGACTATCTCTGGCTACCCAGTTACAATTGCTAAATAAACGGAAGTAAAAGTGAAACACAATAGCAACACTAACATAACTTTGGAGCCTTTTCCACTGTCCTAAAACTAGGGATAGAGTTCCCTCAGAGGGTTACAAAATAATTATGATCGGTTATGACAGTTCAAGGGCCTCAAACAGATATCTGAATGAACCATAAGCAAATGTCCCTTTGGTGCATATACTCACTCAGCTCGTAGATATCTTAAACCTGTGACGAAGAGGTCCCAACCAGTGGCGCTATTAAAAATGTCGGGTACCACTGGTTTAATCTTATACAATGCATCGAATGTAGTGGAATAAAAACTACAATATTTCCCTCTGAAAAACAGTGGACTGTGCTTAAGCACAGAAATCAAAGTGATCATATTTAGTTACTTGGTTTAAGTTTTATTTGCCCAGGTTTTGGTCCTATTCAATGGAGAGTTTAATTTGTGGTGCTCACTTTTTAAAATGAATCAATATTGACATCTCTTTCCAAAAACAGTCCTCCACCTCTTCCTCCACAGTCAAGCGCAAATAAATGACTCAATTTTTTAATAGAACTTTGTTATGCTTGTTTTGCACATTGCCATAACAGTTTGCACTACCCTCATTTCCACTATAACCAAAGTTTTCCATTTGCACTATAACTTATACTACTCACTTTACACTGATATTGCACACTGTGTACATATTGTCTGTGTATAGGTATATATCCAAATATGCGACTGTTCCTTGTAAATATGATTTGGTCTTCCCTTCCTTCAGTGCTACTTGTACTTTGTTCTATTGTATTGCTGATTTTTCCTATTTAAATATTTGTTTATATATATGCTGCAAATGCATTAATTGAAAGTAAACCTTGAACCTTGATTCTCACCGTCAACAGTTCTTCATAGGGACTATTTCTTCTGTGGAGTGGTCATTGAAGAAGAAGATACTTTATTGTCACATACATGTTGTGAAATTCATTCTCTGCATTTAACCCTCAAGGGAGCAGTGTGCAGCGCCCGGGGAGCAACTCCAGATCTTTATCAGTGTCTGGTCAAACGGCACTGACTGGAGAACCTAACATGTAACGTTTTTGATGGTGGGGGAAACCAGAGCACCCGGAGGAAAACCACACAGACAGGGGGAGAACATGCAAACTCCACACAGAAAGGCAGAGACAACTGGGGTTTGAACCTGCAACGTTCTTGCTGTGAGGCCACAGTGCTATCCACTGGATCACCGTGCCCCCCAACATCATCAAAAACTGTTGACATAAATGAATTTCTGGAAAGAGCTGCTGCTGTTATGCTGTGACCCCCATTTGTTTTAATTTACGTGAACTAACACTTTAATTTTAAGGCGGACAGAAAAGGCTGAACGGAAACAAGAAATGTTGCAACTTTTATTCTTTCAGTCTTTCTTGACACATTACATAATGTAGCTCTGCAGTGAAGCTTGTAAGGCTAAATTACTGTCATGGTGTTTAAACCTGCATAGTCACACATCTGGAGTACTCAATTATACTCAGGATTAAAATCAAATTGTTATGTGACACAAATTGATTCAAAATAGTTCGAGGCATTCTCCTCTGTGAAGACATGGAACCGTCAACCACCATAATTTCCACTGAAAAGCTAAATAGAGTCATTGTATCTTCTATCTTCTTTCAGATGTGTGACTAAGGACTTTCGTCTTTTGCAGTCTTCGAACACAAGTATATATTCAAAGCTATATTTCTTTTACATACACTGTATATTATCAAAGCCATCATACAGTCATTTTGCTAAAGCATTTGCATTTCAGTGATTCTCTTGAGTTATTTTTAAATTGACTTTATTTGGCAGCCACATACACTCATAAAGAAAGAGTACCAATGGAAAAAAAGATCTCCATTGTTGTTTGATTTAAATATTTACATTTTTTTGAGGTGATTATGTCAAAAGACAGCTCAGTCTCAAATTTCTCTTGTAAAGTTAAACTGCTAAACATAGAGACAATATCAAATTGGACTTGTTATGTTTCCTTCTTCGTGTTGTACATTTGCCCCAGTAAAAGTCTTTTTAAAAAACACTCACTATACAGACATAACACCCAAAAACATACACACTGTCACATGCATACGTAGAGACTCACTCAGTGTGTGAACGTTAACCTATACAAAGGGAAATGGTGTGTTTTATATCTCACACAATTTATCGCTGACATCCTCCTTCTGTAGTCAAATAGTAGTGAAATACTTATTAACATTCAGCTGATTCCAACATCCACACATGCACAAGTTTATATAAGTTTCAAATCTGTCCACCTACTGCCTTTATTACTGAAACAAAGGGCAAGTTGCAGTGGAAGCAGAAGAGATACATTTGACCCAGTTCGACCACACAGAAGAAACTACAGCCAGGACTATATTTAGATAACACGGTCTGATATTAGAGTAGTGATGGTAGGGGGCGTTCCCCTGACAGTGATGATTTCCAGCAATATGTTAATATATATGTTTTACAGTAGCAGTATGTCAGAGTTAAAGTTCATGGTAAATGTGCCCAGAAAAACCTAAATAAAGTAGAAATGAGGTATGTGTTTGTGTTAAATTTATTATTCTAGTACCCCACCTACAACATGACAAAGATGAGGAAATATGAATAGAAGAAATAAAGTTTTCTGTTTCCAGCGTGTCAAGATTTTTTTGTACATTTTACAAGTAATAGTGCGGATCGTTTCATTTACATTTTTGCTTTGCTCTTCCTTTCTATGTGCAAACGTTTACAAGCTCAAAAATATGTTTAGTTATATACATCAAGCACCTTGGTGAAATAGCTTCGGCAGCTATATTTAGTTGGTCTTTTTTTTTTTTCAGCAATTACCTTTTGACTCACAATCTGACCATGTTCATTTTATTTTGGCACTCAACAACTAACTTACATTATTTCATGACCATCTTTTAGTTTGTCTTTTATGATCCTTAAAGTGATCCTGCTAAACCATGCAGCTCAGCTTGCAGAGCACAGGACCAGACTCTAATCTAACGCAGCTATGTGTCAATACACATTATCATACAGTACTTTTCTTGTTTGAGTGTCAGAGACACAAAGAGCAGAATGAAGCGCCAACACAGACTCCAGATCAGCTTCAAGAGGCTACTTTTCAAACTGAAAACAAACATGCTTTCCTCTGACGACATCCTTCACCGCTGTCTCCTGGAACTTTCTGGAAGTTTCTTATTAAGCACCATTAAATAGAAATTACACACCTCAAACATTTTTTATCTGAGACATTGATGTTGGTGCCTACTCTAGGATGGATTTCTCAGTGTATGAGGGTTGCAACGTTGGTGTGGTTTACTCTTCCTAAGCCTGACACCAAAATGATGCTGATGCTTGCTGCCAATGTTGTAAGTGCTGTTAAAATAGACTGTAACTGCAGTGGAAATATTGTGACAAGATTAGCTAAATTGGCCACTTATTTGTTTTTGTATTTATTTATGCCAGAACATCAGCAATGGGTAACATGTTTAAACTGTTTTATGGTGGATTTCGCAAACAAAATCCTTTTTGCTTCCAGGTAATTCACAGCAGATCAATAAGTGAATTAGACCACAAAATGCTGTTATTATGACAGACCACCAAGACCCCAACTTTCTTTTGACTGTTTTCAGTAATGGAACCTAATTTATATTGGGATGTTGATATTTAGAGATACTACTCTGCTGCTCCAATACACACACAACTAATGTTTTGGTTATTTTTTTAAATCCACTTTATGGTTTTGCTAGATAAAGCACAGATGCTATCATTTATTCATGACTTAAGGTTTGCTTTGCCTGTGGTTTAATCTGTCGCTATGCAGATACAAAGCAAGCTCTGAATCTGCAGCTGCCAGGCAGTAAAACGCTGAGTCATGACCCAAGCTCATTGTTATCAATACTGAACTCGACAATCAAACCCAGAAATACATGTGATAAACTCAAGGACAACCTTTGTTGCAGTATTTTAACACTAAAACTGTCCTGCTCCTGTCCTGTTTGTTTACTGGTAGAACATAAGTTATAGGCCTGTAGATTTATGTGGAGTGGATTTTACAAGGTTCTAGTGACCTTACAACGGGTATTTGCATGATTAGCTTCAGATGCCCAAGTTATCAAGTGTTTTTATTGTGTAGAGTGAATAAGTCATGCTATATTTTCCTGTAGCCTACAGCACTCCACTGCCTCACAACACCACAAGGAGCCTGGTTACGTTTACTCTTCAACCTTCTGAATCTTTACAGGACAATCCATTATAAGCTTTGGTTTCTTAACTACTGCTGTCAAACACAAGATGACATGGTCCAACTACAAGAAGACCTCTCCCCTATGCAGGGCAGTGACATCTGCATGGAGTAGTATTAACAAAAATCCAGCTCTGCTGCTCAGTCACACTTTCAGTGCTCAAAGTCTCCTCAGACCAAAGTTTATGTGCGTGGACAGCAGGAAGAATAAACCCTAAATGTGAGAAAATGGAGAGGTTCATATGTAAACGTGATGTTGCCATAGTTAAGTGTGTGTATTACGTTGGTGTGGTACTGTAGCTGGATGCAGTGTCACGTGACCATAGCCCCCATTGCTGCCAGAGTGAGGAAGTGTCAAGATCGCCCAGCGCTCGAGGAAGAAGGCGGAGATGATGAAGACTTGTCGCTTTCTCTCTGGTCACTGTCCTCAGTGGACGCAGGTGCTGCAGAATCACTGAGAGAGACAGAAACACATGCTGGAAGATAAAAAAATACAAACATAACAGATTCATGTGTAACAAATTAACACTAGAAAATTAACACTTTATTTTATGGGTCCCGTAGCTTCCTATAATTTTCTAGAAGGAAAGAATTCATAGAAAAGTTCCTGGAAAAAACCCCCATTGGCTTAACTTAAACGGAAATAGTGTGTTCATTTAGTCCATTTTCAATGAATTGCTGACAAACTAGTCTTTTATTCAGTGTACAGCAGGTCAACTGAACATGGAAAAATGGAAGATTTGTTCACAGGCAATCATACAATTCAACATATATGAAGAATAAAGTTTTCACTTTCTTTGGGTTTAAATTCAAGCAATTCCTCTGAAAATCAACAGCTGATAATAAACTCAATACATCCAACCAGAGTGGAATAATGGTTTAACAACCTTTTTCCCTATAATAACTACCAAATCATATATTTCTTTCTAGGAAAGGCAACACTTTATTACCAACCATCGATAGCAACTTACTATACAGTATACTGATATGATCAATGCAAAGAAGAGAGGAAAGAGAGCCAGGTTAGGACCCATGTTGGCCCAGCTTTGACTTGAGGCTGCTTCTAAAAATCTGGGACAAAATGGGACTCATGTTGGCAAAGCAGCGGAAATCAGAGACTGGTGTGCCCTTCTTCTTCAGGAGGATCTTCACAGAGACCTGCCCCATCAACATCCCAGATCAAGCACTCAACGGCAGACCATGATGAATGCACGGCGAAATGTTCTGGGTGTGTATTTGTATGTATAGACTTTATATTTAAATAACTGAATATACCCTATTGTTTTATTTTATTTTATTTGTTACCATATTTTAATTCATGGTCTGATAAGTTCTGTGTGTGTAGCATGAAGGGACTGAAAACTTCCTTTTCGTTACACAACTTTGTGTTGTCTACTGAAAAAAAAAAAATTGTGGCTTGTCCCTTCTACCTGAAGTGCCCCAATTTAGCATTTCTACATCGTATATAAACATTTAATACATGGTTTATAATATGCTACAATGTAGTTGTAGCAGACTTAAGTAGAGGCTGGTGTATAAACAGATAATGTAAGACAAGACGTTAAAATTGTTGACATATACTGTACATTTATAAACACAATGTCACAACTACATTGTATTGTGTTTAACAATTTATTAAATGCTTGTTTGCTGCTTATAAATGTTATATGGGGGGCTTAGAGTAAAGTGTTATGATAGGATACTAAAGAACTGAAAGCCAGCATGTGTGTTTGTGTGTGTGTGTGTGTGTCACCTGTCTCCACTCTGTGTAATGAGTCTCCTGCAGGTCTCCATCTGAACATCTAGGCCTCTCTTCATTGAGCACATCTCCATGTACTCGTGCAGGTGTCGGTTCATGTCGCTCTTTGCTGTGGCCAGTTCCAGCTGGAGCCAGAAAACATGCGGCCGTACATCCAAATGTTATATTACAAATGCTGTATGTGCACTAAACATAAAAAGGTTTCCTTCAGTGCAACTATGAGGTGCTGGCTACGTGCATTGCAAATTAATGTTGCTAAACTTCACATAGCTGTTCCATCTTTTGTGCTGTTGCAGGCACAGAGAGCTGCACAAACCTTAGGCGCATGCAAGACATGTATAAGAGATGAGAAAAGCCGTGGTATTAGGCTTTTAATGTACAATGCGTGAGAGGATTCAAGCACTTGAGAATAAATAAAGAGCACAGAGCATAAAAATAACTAAAGCACAGGCAACATATAGGAGGACATGGTTTAATATATATGAAAAGATACATAGCAAATGTCTGACCTCAATTTGGTCAATTGTCTCTTGGTATTCCTTCTCTCGGGACTTGAAAAGACATTCCGTGTCATTAATCACCTTTTCCAGACAGTCCTCCTGGTAGAGAGGGAGAGAGAGTGTGAGTAGGTTTGTGGTCAGAATTTCAGGATATGGAAAAACATTTAGCAGCAAACAAAACATATTGTCACACAATCAGAGACTAAGTGAAGTTACACGACTATTAAAGCGCAGCTGGCTTTATGCTCCCATCAGCTCAAATTTCACTGACTAATGCAGCTCTTCCCTTCAAAGGGACAACAGACTGTTCAAATACCAGACAGTCAGGGAATGAAAACAAATACCTACATGCATTTCTTGGAAACAAACACGCAGTACACCAGTACAGGCCAGACACTGCATCTGTGTGTGTGTGTGTGTGTGTGTGTGTGTGTGTGTATGCACGCAGTGTTTTGTCCTAAAATGCCCCAGCCACAGTAGAGCACTGAAGGTCAGATGATTCAGCTGCGCATCAATTCCACTCATAACGTCAGAACTTTAAAAGCTTCCTTGAAATCTGAACCAACAATATCAATTTCAATACACGTGAAGGATGACGGTGACAAAAGGCGCAGATCCTGATCACACACAAAAATTCTCCTTTCACAGTGACCTTCGCCGAGGGAATTACATAAAAAAAAAATGAATAAGACTGAATAAGACATTAACTGCATCTGCATCTGAAGGCTAGGTATGAATTGTTTATAAAAGTAACGTTAGAACAAACATGGTGTGCATGTCTATGGTTGCACTTGTTCTTCTAAATAGCCTGACATACCTGAGGGTATAAAAAACGATTTCCTTCTCATTGCTATCACAAGCAAATCCAGATTTGAGTGAAGGTCATCTTTACAGGCTTAAATTATGAAATTATACAGTCTGGATGTAATCCAATTATAAACAGCACTTCATACAAAGACTTAAATAAATACAGAAAAGGCAAACACATGGGAGTTATTGTCAGGCTACTGTATATGTGGGCACAGTTATACAAATTAACACGTCCTAAAAATGACCACAGAGCAGAATCAACACCTCTCTGACAAAGTTTCACAAACACAGTAAATGTTGGATTGGATTGCATCATGTAGTCTGGGTGTTGCCTTTGTTTTGTCTTTCCCCGGTATTTAGGTGATTCTTTAACACCAGAGCAAGAGATCTCAATGAAAAACGTTGCGTGCCTACCTCTCCTGGTGGGTGGGCAGGATCAGGAGGCAGAGTGCATCCTGGGAAGTCCTCCCAAAGAAGCAGTGTCTCTTCATTCTCCTCCCAAGCCAGACTGTCACAATCATCCTCAAACTCACATTCCCGCCTTGAAATAAAACCATAAATGCACACACACAGAAAAATGATTAGTGGAAGTGCAGGACTGAAGGACTCTAACATTATACTCATCATATGTCAAAGTCAAACCACTCACAGTTGGTTCAGCATCCTCTGCATCTCCTCATTGATCTGATTGGCTGATGAGCCGCAATGCTCTTCGTCTTTGACCGCACCTCCATCACTTTCGGAGGTGCTCACAGGTTCGTCGCACTCACTCCCGTTGAAGGACAGAGGAGTTTGTTTCCGGCGACAGTTTAGAGATGATTGGCTGTTAGGAACCTGCAAGGATACAGGATTACCACCACTATCAATATACAAGACAAACGTTGACAGGAAGTGCCTCAGTGGATTTGATGACACGTGGAAAAATAAACAAATAAAAAGAACCAAAGATGGTCAGTTGTTCTTCTGGTACCTGGTACATCTGGATCACATCTTCACAGTTCCTCTGCTGAGCTACGTCACACAGACGAGCGGTGATGTCGATCCTGCGGCAGATGTCCATGTCCACCTTCATGGCTTTCTCCTGGATCTTACTGTCCAGCTCTGACAAGTTCTACAGAGAGCATGAAGATAACCAGTTGAAATAAGGGGAAGGGAAACTTACTCGAAAAATACATCTATAGCTTTATTAATGTTCATAAATTACTGCTGTAAAAAAATGAATCACTAATGCAATTACTAAGAACGACATTTGGGTTGCCCGATTGTAAAAAAATCTCTGGCTGCTTTATATCCTCCTCCAGCATGTCCATGTGTTTCTATTTGATAATAGTGCAGGTACAAATGTTGGCAATCCAGGTAGGGTTTATTTATTTATTTTTTTGTCTTTTTTATTTGTCTCTAATATTCCATCAAGTCTGCAGGTGTAAATGTTACTAAATGGACCGGGGTCCAGATGCTCTGCCACCCTTTTCCATGAGCTACGTCATAAAACGGTCCATTGGAGGGGTCTTGTGAATTAAGGGGCTGGATAAAAAGACAAACTGGAGGAGGATTAACACCTGCCTTTTTTTTTCTTCTGACCCATCGCTTATTCTTATTAATGGCTTATTACTGGTGTATACAACATCAGTAAATGGTCAATTGACATTGAAAGAGCAACTGAGTGAGGAGTTTTGTTTCAGATATAAAGCCATTAGTTACAACTTCACACAGGGTTTCTTATTTAAAGTAAATGATAATATAATTTTACTTGCTATTTAAACAGTTGAAAGCCACAGTCCATCCACTGACAAGCAGAGAGACATGTAATTACTGCTAATGTGCATAGCTATGAGTATGTATGACTAGTATGTGACTGTATATGTTGTACTGCACTCACATTGCTCATGAGGCCTTTGAAGAGAACCAGCTCTGCCTTCAGCTGCTGAACTCTGAGAGCCAGCTCGTCTTGACAGCCCTCACTCTCCTGCAGGTCCTGCACAGACAAAGGAAGCCGCAAAGAACACACATGTACATGTAAGCACCAAGTGCAAACATGCCCACACACATCTCTGTCTGTACTGGAAAGTACAGGTTATATTAAGCAAGCAAAGATCATCAACACAATAAAAGAAATGAAATCGGCAAAGGGCACAATGTAATTTGTACTCCTCTAGGGAGCTCTAGATTTGTCAGATGCCATCGTTTTTCTTTCTCATGACTTATTCACGTGCTACACTATTGGTCGAGTGGTGTTTTGCTGCTTGTGGTCTCCTGTGCTGTGGTGATGCCTGCGAAATTGGGTCAGGTAGATTCCTGGCAATGGTACCCATGAGTTCAAACACACAAGTATATCTTAAACACACCTACCCACACACAGGAAATCAACAAACCATTGGGTTCATGAAGACACAGCTGCAGGAAGCACAAATATGGCAGTCAACCTGACAGCAGGTGACTGAGTCAGATAAAAAAAAATAAAGCTCTGTTTTGTCCAAATGATTTTGATAACTTTTAAATGAGAACAGTCAGTGCATTTTAAGTGATGGTCAGTGGTCAAAGAAAAAAAGAAAACTAATTACAGAAGAGTGTAACAGTTTGGTATGAGTCAGGACTTGAACTAATACATGCTGCATAAAGTCAGTGCCAGCAGAGTGAGAGCTTTCTCCCTGCCACTGTACAAGCCGCAGTGCACCTATTTAAAAAAACTATTTTTTCCTGATGTTATCAGTTCACCCAAGATATTTAACTACTAACACTTTTTTTAAATTGTTGACAAGCCAGGAAAACATACATGGTATGATTGCAGTGTTTTTAGGTTAGCTAAGCCATAGCTGAAGTATCACATAACCATTTATTTTGGTTGTTTTAATGACTCAGGTGGATGTCAAAGCTGTCAAATGTGACACAAAACACTCAAAGACTTCAGTTCAGACACACTGGTCTCCAGCCATGTCTACCTAAACACACACAAAATGCCATAATGTTACCTCTTGTAGATCCGAAATTTTCTGTTGCAGATCCATCCTCATAGTGTATTCTTCTTCCCATCTAAGGAATACACATGCATAAGAAGTAAACCATCTTTTAGTCCATGTCTTAATGTAAACAGAGAACAAACACACAGATAAAGAACAGAAAGGCCTTGACTTTCATGCATTACTATGTAAATATAAATGTGTGACAGTTTTTTGGCTTCATGTGTGCATGGGTCCATTTATGCATCTTCCAAACCCGCTTAGAAAGGTATGAATGGACCCATGACTGAACTACTTCAAGGGGTTTAAAGGTCAAAAGGGCTGAGAGTCAGAAAGGCATTCTAGCCAGATGTCATACAATTGTAAGTGCATCTGTCTCACACCACCATTGTATGACAATCAAATCCCTCCTGACACATAACATCTCATGACGCTGCCGTCCAGGATTGACCAAAAAAGCAGACACCAATTTTAGAAACCAAGCTTGGGGACCATTTTAACATTAGCAGAATTTACAAAAGCTGCAACCACTGTGTCTGCTCAATCAGTGTACAGTACATACTGGATTTGTGAGGCCAATATTTGGGAAAACCTCCAATAACAACATATCAGGCAACATCAGCACATAACATAAAAAAACAATCTTGAAACGGAGCCCATAAATTTGTTGTAAATGTAATGTTATCACAGTTTCTATATGACCTATCTATCTGCAGTAAGCTGATACAAGCTCTACTGCTGAAAATGGCATCTTCTCCTAAAACACAACTTGACACTTAAGTCCCTTAAAGTTCCCTGGGGAGTTTTTGGCTTCTAATATCGCTATGGAGCTGGGGGATTTTACCGGTGGGTCCCCATTATGTTCATCTTGTACGCGCACACCAGTCCTAATGGTTTCACACTATTCCACTGATCAACAGGAGGGGGTAACACAGCAAGATATGCTGTAATACGCTAGCAAACACATGGAAGTGGACCACTAGCAACATGGATGTATACAATGCTGGATTTAATATACTTAAGGTATTGGCTTTGCAAATGTTTCACAAGGTAGGAAATGTATATGACACATTTGTTAGACCTCAAGGATACATACAATGCATTTTGGTGAGTGATACTGAATGTATAATCACTCAACAAAATTGCAATTCTGGGACCAGTCATCATCCTTTAAAAACAGAGGAATGACACAAGAGATCAGCCGTCAGGTGCTGGATTTGGGCTGAGTGTCTGTGGATCGGACATTAAAATGTAAGTGCAGTTTAGATTAATTATATTAGCTTACAAATCTGGTTACAAGTTGAATGAAACAATCAGGTGTAAATGGGGAAAGTGGCAGCGAGTCATTTGCTAATTCACTCACATGAATCACTAGTTTGATTCATTGAGTGCTATGATGATGAAGCTCCGACGATTGGCCCATGAATTTGAGCTTTAATACATTTAAAAGCCTGAGCACAGATCCTGTACGTGATCTCAGATTCTGTGACTTCACCCAACATATGTGCCTGGAAGAAATCCACTCACTGCAGTCTGTAGCCTCTTATATACATATATCCTGCTTGAAATGCAGAATGCTGCGGCACACCAAGACCTTCAGGGAATACTAAATCTGAAAGAAACAGAGTCATGAAACAGGAGGTGTTGTTGTCGTAGAGGATGCTTGTTTGATCAGTAAGGTGAGAGCGCAGAGAAAGCAGAGATGTGCTTCTTTCTGCAAGCCAAGCCCCTAACCAGCAGTTACAGCTTGCAGTGCATGCTGCATTGCAGATACAGTGTGGAGAGGGGTATGCGCAGTGGGAGAGATGAGAGGCAGAGAGCAGGGGAGAGGGAGAGGAAGTGTTCAGTGTGGGCGTGCGTGGGGCCTACACGTGAAAGTGTGATGGGCAGAGGGAGTGAGGGGCGGGCAAAGTGGGAGGGTAAAGGAGGAGAAAGTCTGTCTTTGAATTAAAAAAGGAGGGTAAAAAGTTTTCAAAAATAGGCAAAATGCACCAAAGACTTTCAGATAAATGAGGGTCCTCAAATATATATGAAAATGACTCACAGAGGAAACAACATTATAAATAATTGACTGCATAAGTACTGGACATAAATCTGAAGGAAGGAGTTTCACTTGGAGAAACAGGCTCCAATGTCCCGAGGTAAACGGATACCTACAGCAAGCTCACAGACCTGAGAAGTTTGATTTGAACATTTGAGTGGGGGCACGGCATGTCACACACCTTGATTCGCAGGTAGTGAAACAAAAATCTTTCTGGACAAGAGGTCAGTATGTATCACCCACTCTCAAGTCTCTACATACAATTAAATCAAGTGCCTCATGTCTCTCCCCTAACCGTTGTTTACAAAGAGCCCACTATACCGTGGTCAAGATCTCCTTTGGGAAGAATGCATGGCTGCTCATTTGGACATAATAAGAGGGTATTCAACGATGAATGTGCTGGATCATGGGAGCTATTGTGGTCCACACGGGGCGGATAATACGTAATCCACAAGTGTCATATATCGTTCAGATGTGACGATTTAAAAAGGTAAGATCCACCCTAAAAAAAAAAAAAGTTCACATTGTGCTATTCTGGTGATCTGGAAGCACAGACAGCTGCCTCCCTAAATTGGAAATCAGAGCATCCAGATTTTGTACTGGCTAGGTCATCGGTGGATGCATTGTTGTGTGATTGTGGATTCAGAGAGGTTTTGTTTGACATGATCCTAGGGCAGCAAATTACTTTGCTATCAATTAACATTATTTTCTTGACTAATCAATTTGTTGTTTTGTCTTTAAAATGTCAGAAAATAGTGTAAAATGCCCATCTAAATTTCCTGGAGCCCAAGGTGACGTCTTCAAATCTCTTGTTTTGTTGCAAAACCCAAAAATATTCAATTAATTGTCACATGAAACAGAACAACAGCACATGTATTTTTCCTTCTATCTTTTAGAGAAGCCAGAACCAGTGATAATAAATCAATCAATAAGTAAATCAATTATACCATTTCAGCTCTAGTTCAAATTTAACTTAAGCTGTCCATATGTCCCAGAAAAATCACAATGGGTGCTGTTAAGGTATCATAGGGTTTGTTTCAATATTCACAGTGGCCTATCTGGACCCCCTCCAGAATTGTCTTTTGATGACCTCATCAATCAGTCTTGAAAGACTTCACAAAATAAAAATCTGCGGTACAATCAGCATGAGCTCTATTTCAGGATGGATTTCCCCTAATATTCCTGTAAACTAAGAAACCAATGAGTCAGTGTCCTGGAAGCTTTGAAGTGAACATTTGTGCCACAGACTGATCTTCACACGTCTCTATCAAGCTTTGACCTTCACTCTTCTTTATATTTAGCTCGTGATGTGTTAATTTTGCAGGCGTATTTCTAGCAGCAGCACCTGCCTCTGTGGTCAGACATGTGGATGCAGGGTCAGACTGGAGGTGATGGATGAAGAGGCTTTTATTTTTGCTGACTCTACTTGTGTGGGAGACTTCTGCTCTGCAGCTGCTTTACAGCTTTGCTCACTCGTCCAAAGTAAAGCATTACACACACACTGAAGAAAACTACAACGCCATGCTCAGTAGAAATTCCCCTGTAGGCCAAACAAGTCTAATAAAAGGGTTTCACTCCATTTACCTGCGTTTGTACTCGTCTCTCTCCCTCTTCACTTTGGCCAGGACATTATAGAGGGCTCTTATCTCAGGGGTGATGGTGTCAATCTGGACCCCGACTCCGTCAGGGTGCACCCAAGACACTCCTGGGCTGGTCAGACGCTCTGCACCAGGGCCAAACTTGCGGGTGTGGTTGTAGGACCAGATTGTGCCAGGGAGGAACCTTGGAGGAGGGTTGGTGGAGCTGGTGTAGGGGACAGTTTTAGAGCCAGAGCCAGGAGAGTCCACACAGGGAGAGGGCTGGCTGATGGTGATGGCTGGGTTACCAGTGGCATTTGTTTGGGTTGAGCTGGAGTTTTCAGCGGCTGTCGGTGGGAGGGTTGTTGTGAGTGGTGGTGCAAACAGTGTTGTAGGCCTCCTGGCTGAGTTGTTGGTGTTGTGGAAGGGGAGGGAGACGGGCCTGAGCGGTATGGTCCCGACAAATCCGGTCTGCACACCTGCTTCCTGGGTATGCGCAGTGCCCTCACAGCATCCACCTTGACAGCCCTTGTTGGCATCCAGCGCCTGTTGAAGCTGCTTCTCTAGAATCTTATTTCTGCGCTCTAATTCGTGCACTTTTGCCAAAAAGCATCTGAACCTCAGATTGAGAGTTTTGAGGACGCTGATGTTGGATCCCAAGTCGTTTCTGAGAGCCATGGCTGCCGGGGGATGCGGCACGGCACGATGCTGGTAAAGGTGGCTGCTGTGATTGTGGTGGAGGTAAGGTGAGGTCTGCGAGGGTGCGGTGAAGTCAGGCCCCGGCTGATCAGGCCCCGGACTAGACTGCTCACCTAGTAGAAAAGCTGTTTCGTCCGGTCCACCGAAAACGGCGTCGGGCAGGAGGCCTGAGGGAGAGTCTGGATGTCCGGACGATTGGCTCTGCTGCGGATGCTGTTGGAGATGCGCGTTGGCCTCCAACAAAGGATTCATGCTATGGTATGGAAAACTAAAGCGCTGCAGATCTGGCATGAACACGGAAGGGAATAATCTTGCTACAACAGAATACAATGACTGGATGAATAATAAGTAGCTGTTAGAATGCTAGAAAGACGTGCGCACAAAACGCCAGTATCTATCCGATTATATAACCGTTTCTAAATAAGAATCTTATCCTTAAAGCTGAGAGGTCTTAACGGCAGCTGAGGATCAGCGCTCTCTGACCATCCGCAACAAAACATCCAAAAGCGACTGCAAATGGGCTGCGAGCAAGGATACAAAATGCGGCAACACTGGATATGCGCCTCGGTAAGATGTTTTGCAAAATAAACGTACTTAAACGAAGAAAAAGACGCAGAGCCTGGATGAATTTTTAAAAAAAAAAAAGAAATCAAGTGTTACCGCGTCACTGAAGTTCTGGCAACAAGATGTGACCGCAGGCAGGAGCAAGTGTTGCGGGATTGGAAGAGCACAGTTACCGTAAATACTCTACTAGAGCAACGCTGATCCATTAACTGTTTGTTTGCTGCGGAATACAATACTCACCAAGGCACCTTGTTGTTTTGCACAAGGAATGTTTACACTTCAGATTTGCAGAAACTTTGACAAATGTGAGTGATAGAATAAACACAACCTCAAAAGAATTATTCAAATGTTTAAAGCTTTTAAAAAAACTGAAACCAAGGCTGGATCGCTAACCACCTGCTCCACAATCCAGATTCAGACCACAGAGCCCCACTTTCATTGTGTCAACTGGTTTGTGGTAATTTGACTAAAGCACAGTCTCAACTGACATAACACGCATACCTCCTTCTGTAACCTCTGTTTTCTCCCTGTGCCAAGATATAGTTTCAAAGGAATGGTTCAACATTTTAATTTAATTATAAGGTAAAGATATTGCTGCAATCGGTTAGCTTAGTTAACTACTTTAAAAGCAGGAAACAGGGGGACCTGGGACAAAGTTAACGTTTGCCTTTATGTTTCCAGTATCTTCAACCAAGTCCAGTTGCCCTTGACTTTAACCTTCATTGGATAACTATGACCTGGATGACTGAGAACCTTCACAGACAGTTTGCCTTTATGGTTACAAAATCTGCCTGCCTGCACCTTTAACACTGACTTATGTTACATCTCGTTTATTTAATCCGTACACAAACCTTATGTCAAAATGCTGTTTTACCAGGATTGTTATGCTCTGTAATAGTTCTGTTTAGTTCTCTGAGAAGTATCGGCTACTCCCTGGAGTCTCCGCTGGTTAGCAACTGCTCATCTAACTCTCTGCCAGAAAGCTAAAAAGTGTAGCCTATTTCCCAAATTGTCCAACTATTCATTAGGCTACTTACCGCTGTGGGAGAGAATAACCCTCAGAACAGGCAAGAGGCCTTATGGGCCTTCACTCTGAACCTCAGTTCTCTTGAATGTAACTGTGACTTAGACATAGATCAATTATTGTTCTTTCAATGGAAATGCTATTCTTTTCAGTGAGAAACAGATTCCAGTAAAGTTCAAATTAACTCAAGTTTAGTAATATTTCAAACAAATACAAATACTTAATGTGTATTTGAGCTGGTCCCTGGAGCAGACTCTCCAAACTCTGCATTGCACTGGTTGATATCCTGTTTTGCTCCTCTTGTGGGTCTTAGGATCAGACCCACCTCCATTTCCATCTCCACACATATTCAATATTAAAACAACAGTGTATTCTACCCTACAACACTTATAAAGTAACAAGACTGAAATGTGACAGTGATCAGTAAGACATCATCTTGATATTAGCAAAACATTGTATATGCTTAAAACAACTACACAGTTCAAAGTACAAACTTTATGTGCTGTGCCAACTGCACTGTGACAGCCATCAGAGTTGTGGTCCACTTCCAAAGGCCCATTGTATTCATGTGTCTAGTCTTCTATTTTATGAAGTCTGAGGGCAGGTGCTAGCAACAATTTGTTAAAATCCAAATAGGCCCTATTGTCCCTCAATCAAATATGCAATTAATTCTAAATTGTTAGCCTGAGCCTCTGATACGGCCGGCTAGCAACACTGTTCAACTGGCCGGTGTTTGTGTTCTTTACAAAAATGTGAAGGCCATAGCCTGAGAGCAACAAGCTGTGAGAGAAAACTGCACCTCAATGTATCTTTAAATAAACACCTTAAACATTATTCTAATAAACATGTTAAACATTACAATAGTATTTAGTAGTTATCAAGCTAGGCATATGGAATCCTCAAACATCATGGCTAAATGCTAACCTGGGGCCAGAACATATTCAAGCGTAGAAACACAGTAGAGGACTGGGGGCTCCCGTAGCAGAATAACCTGGCAACTACAACTAAAAACCAGACCGATGACAGTTAGGCTATAGCTTTTAAACAGTTACACAGTTGCTAAACAAAAGAAAGTCATTTTTTTTGAGTAGGCTAGTACATGATTCATTTTCATTGTCGCTCAGAGTGCTAGACCTGCACTAGGCTATAAAGGCCCTGCACACCCATGATAAACCCACACAGGCTGATTAAACTTATTTTGACTGATTAGACTAAGCATAAGTCGTTTTCATGACATACATTTTGACAGTGACAGGGTTGCTGGATGTGGACCCTCTCAGATTTCTCCTGGTCTTCTGTCCACCGATGCTGAAGTGTCTCTGCTTTGCCTTCACTGTCCGAGGAGGCAAAGTACAAAACATGTCTGTTTTTCTTTTCCACAGACAAGGATACGGTGTCTCTCATTTTCTTCCTACAGCTCTGAGACAGGCTGAGGCTCCCTTAAAGAGAAGAGAAGATAAAGAGACTCAAAACACAACCCTTTAGTGTTTTCTAAACCTACTATTTTTCCTGTTAACGACAATGCGTCCAAGAAACAATTGGAAATAGATTAAGTTCACATGGAGTTGGACCCGCACTCCAGCTTTACGTTAGTTAAACAACCTGAAAAAAAAAATAACTTCATTGCCAAACTCCGAGAGGCTTATGTTGGATCCATTTCCTCTAGCAACCTGATTTATAACAGTTCCTTAGGGCTGAATATTCTTAAAGAAATTGCCATTCAGAAAGTCACCGCAAACCAACTGATGAATAAGAACAATGAATGAAGGGCCTTTGGGGCTCCTGAGCATCTTCTCACTTTTATGTTTGGTAATCCCCCAGGTCCCTGGCATTCCTGCTGTCTGCCACAGTGTCTTTTTCAATATTATCACTAGGGGGTGCCAGAGTTGCAATGCTCATATTCTATATGCACAGTGGCTTTACATAAGTGACTAATACATTAAAACAAAACAATTACAGAATACAGACACAGAACCTCCATTTTGCATCAAGAAGCAGCAGTTGTCCTCACCGTCAACAGGATGACCAAATATGAAGTGATGATGGTAAGTAAAGGAAATCCAAAGCATACTGTCAGGACGAGGACAATATAGATTCTGTCATTCAAAGACGACCTCATTCTCCACCTTGAAATAGTGATACAGGCAGATGGTTATCGCATACATCATTTGTCTGCAAATGCATTAAAGAGTACAAATCAGAGAATACACAGACAGCACAGATCAAGCACTGTAAAATAAATTAGATTACCAGTTAATGGTGCAGCTGGTCCCATAAGGTCAATAACTTCCAAAGCCAAAAGCAGGCAGTAAGGCCCAGAACAATGTGTAAGCCCACACCACTGCTATGGACAGAGACACATGGTGCCTCTCAATCCATTGTCCTAGAGAGGCAAAAAGGATGCAAACTGCTTAATGAACATAGTGTGACCTTTTAAGCTGTGTGTTCATGGGAATTCTTCACATTTTTTTGAAACATCAGCAAGTTTAAGTGGGCTTTAGTGTTACGTAATCAATGTCAGTATGACTTTTACCTCAACAAATGTTTAAATCAATACATTTGCACAAGAAGACAAGGATGTTGTACTGACTAGAATAAGTATGTTGTCTAAGTAAGGTTTGTGTTTGTACCTTGGTGAGAAATCCCCCAATTTATTCATGAAGAGCCAGATGGATTTAAGGTGAATATGTGCTTGTGTGTTAGAAGATGTCAAACTTGCCATATCTTAAGCAGCAGATCTTCAGGCAACGTTCCAGAGTGATAAGACAGGTGGTGAGCATAGAGCCAATGCCAAACACAAAGCCCTGAATGCCATACCAAAGGCAGCCTGTCTCCCCAAACACCCAGGCATGGCACAGGCTGACAGAGGGAGAGAGAAGGGCTTTAGACCACCTGCTTAATGGATCATCACCGTCTGTCTCTGACAAATGGCTGCTGGTCTAGATATTGTCAGTATTATACTCACAATGTCAACACCCTGAATTCATGCCTGGGTTGTCATTGGTTGATAACAAAGTATTGAGTACCTGGAAATTATGAAAAATAGCGCTCCCAAGAGGCTGACACCAAAATCGCTGAGTGCCAGGTTGATGGTCAGGAGATCTGGAGGTCTGAGCTTCTTTCTTCCCCTACAGTAGACTAACAACACTGTGCCATTCTCCAGCAGTGATGCGACAGCTGGAGAAAAAGTAACAGTGAGGAAAATGAAAGAACATATATGAAGAAGGTCATTGTTAATAATTTTATGCCAGCTGCTCCCCATCTAGACTCATGCTGCACAGGAAGCAAATCAACCCGGACAAAACAAGCAAATGAACAAGTTTGAATGTGACAGTAGAGAATCCGTTTAGCTTCATTGATTTGTTGCGTAAACCAATCACTGAAGGTAACGTTTAAGATTCAGAGGCATAACTGATGTGAAGAGTAAATTGTTGTTCAGTTCAGTCAATTGTTCTTATTTCTCTACTCTTCACAAATGTTTTGTATTTAGACAGTCTGAACTTTATTGCTTTTAATGAGGAAACGTTGGGTTTTGTCTTTTTGGTTGACTAGTGAGCAAATAGAAAACTTTTCTAAAACCCATTATGAGTGAATAATAAGTCAGTCACACAGCACCCATGAACTTTTGAGTCCTTGGTTTGTTCTCACAACACAATGTTATCTTTTACAGTATTCAATTTTTAAGATTCAGGATGGTATGGCATTTTGTTCACTTGAATGCCAATGTTATATATTATTTTTATTGTCATTATTTTCTTTCCCCTAATTATTATTATTACATATTAAATAGACACTAAAATGTCCCTTTAAGTAGATTTAAATATATATAATTTATTTCCTACTTTATCTCAGGTAAACTATATTATATATTCTGTGTGTGCTTGTTGCACCACTTCAGTGGAGCTACCATGTTACATTTATTGTATATATAGAGACAAATAATTTATAATAATCAATAATAACACACTCGCAAACAAAATTCAACATTTTTGTGGCTGAAGCTCACATAAAAACATTAAATGTAATCTGGCATGATATATTTGGAAACTTGGGATCCTGCTCAGAATTTTAAATAACTTTCAGTGTGTTTGAATGTCATTCGTCTTGAACCACGCTTCCCTGCGAAGGTGAGGAAGACAGCGATGGCCAGGTCTGCAGAGGGGGACAGCTGGGATAGGAACCGTGGGTGGATGGATGAGGGGACAAACCAGGAACCCGTGTCTCCCATGGATGTGTAATACACAGTTGAAAGGCAGCTTACAGATACAAGGCAGCTTCGTGAGCTTCAATGAAGGCACAAATACAAAACAATACGTGACACTATGCCAACTACAAAGTGCAATAAGCAGCATGTGGAAGTAACATTTTCTCACAAGGAGGGTCATGTCACAAAGCATTATCAAAGATATAAATGATTATAATTGAGCGATTAATATAAATTAGTGTTTCTCAACGGGGGCGGTACAGCCCCCCAGGGGGCGTTCCGAGGACGATGGGGGGCGATTGGAAGCAATACTTTGGAAGGGGGGGGTCGCTGAGCTGCTTTCGGGGGGCGTTTGTTGGTTGTTTACAGTTTACACTTAAGATTCACAACAATAGGAGTTTAAACCTGAAACTACTTGCAAAAAAACTGATCTGCAACATTAGAACCTGCCAATTTAGCGCACTGCAATTGGACGAGACGGTATATTTTCTCTCTGTCAGCTACTTGTGGTGCAGCTTCGTGCTGCCTTCACGGGAACGGGAAGTCAGAGTGTTATCTCTAAAATTTTACCCACATGGCGTTTACTGTGTAAACTCTGGAAAATTGACGTTCTCTTTCTTGGTGGAAAAGTGTTTATTTCTCTGAGGAATACACCGTGAACTTCTTGTTATCTCAGTGGTTTACACATTTACAAGAGGGATATCCTGCTGCGACACCAGTGAGTGACGTGGACCCACCTCGCGCTGTGAGTCGCAGACAGTTTGTGCCAAAGCGGACTGTGGAAGTTTTGGTTTGACACGGAGGCGGCTATATGTAAGCCTCATTTATTATCGTTGTGTCAGCACCAGAATCTATCTTGAAGCTAACTGGAGTATGGCATATCACTAGAGTTGTGCGCCACGGTGGCTCTGTATCAGTGATGACTTCATCCACTGTAGCCTCATTCTTGGTTGTAGTTTCTTTTATTGAGCCTAAGAATAAGCTGTCAACTTCTTCAGTCACTTCCTGTATCATTCTGGTTTTGCACTTGTTTGCAAAGTGACCAATTTAGTGGCATTTATTACATTCTCTCTCTTTAGCTGGGCATTTGTCTCTTGCATGCCTGCGCCCACATCTCCCACAGTTTGGCCTTCCATTTTCTTTCCTTCCTCCTGTTGCCTCATACTGTGCTTTTTTCCCACTTACTTTTATAAGACTTTGATTTTACTTCATCAACGTGCCCTGATGAATCAATGAAAGATCTTTGTCTTTAATCCCTATGACCAGTCCATCTCTTATTTCCTCCTCCTTCTCCTGAAAGTCACAGTGAGCTGCGAGTTCATACAGGTGCCTTATGTACTGTTCAACGGACTCACCCACCTCTTGCGTCCGCCAGTGGAAACGTGCCCTCTCGAAAATCACGTTCCTTTTCGGCACAAAGTGCTCGTCGAACAGCCTCAGCACAGTGTCAAAATCCTCTTCCTCGTCATGTGGAATATTGCTATCTTTGTATATCCTTAATACAGAAGAGGAGGCGGTATGTTGTCTTAGCTTGACTTTATTCCAGCACGTCGTAACCTAACACACCCTGAAACCCTCCACCTCTTCTGGTATCTCCGTACATATACGTAGATACCGACGTATGCTCAATCACAGATAGTAACAGGTTTACGTGACACGGACAGTTTCACTTGGCTATAAAAATGTAACGTTAAAAACTGAAGCCTTGTCTTGCTCTGTTGGGGATTGTAAGCGGCACTTTATCAGAGGTGCTGAAGTTAACATGTGTGGAATTATTCGTGAGCTTTCTGTCTGATCACAGGTGTTGTCGGTTAGTTTCGTTTCCCCCCGGCATGAGCACCTCCTCCTGTCATCCAGTTTTGTCTGTTAGACGGCGAGGGGATACTTCCAGTGAATCAGTAACGTAATGCAGTACAGGGCATGTAGTAAAATGTTATGAATTCTCTTTAAATAGGCTAATGACGTTAGTCTCCCATTACGACTTTTTTTATTTACATTTCAGAGTACTCAGATATGTGGGAGAGATTCTGAATGTGCAGAAAGGTTTGAACATGAGCAGATAAGTTACAGTGTTTCCCATACGTTCATTTATTTGTGGCGGCCTGCCACAATATCAATGCTGACCGCCACATATTGATATTCGATTTTTTTTTACTGGGCCTATTTAAAACCGTATTTGAGCTGCAGGCAGCGCGTATACGCGCAGCACTTCCTCTCGCTCGTCTCTCTCACCCGTCTCTCGATCTCTCGCTCTCTCTCCCTCGTTAACACAGCTGCACAAATCTGTCCAACACAACGCTGTCAATGTCGGAGACCCAGCTATTAAAAGTTATTAGCAAGCATGTAAGGAGCCTAGCTAATAAAGAGAGCTAAGTTAATGTTAGAATACAGCTGGGTTTTCGAGACTAGCATGCTGTACAGCTGCGCCAGTTACACTGTCATTCTGTGGGAAACAGAGTTATAAGTTATTAACAGATGAGCTAATAAAGTCCAGTCAATAACTGAATTAAAACGGATTAATTTATTACTGAGATGAAAAGGGGCCACAAACACATTTATAGGTTACTTCCCCACAAAAGAGGAGGTAAGACTTAATCATGTGTGTTGACTCAGCAGGGATATTAAATAAGTTGATCTACAGGGGGAAAAAAATATTTAAAAGCAATAAGAGCCTGAGAGCCTCACTAGATTATCTATTATAATTCTATATTTTGAATTGTCACCTGCCACCTGAATTTTTAGACAAAATAAATTGGTGCAGAAAAGGCAGAAATTGAAGGAGAAATTTTCACCAGAATGCAGGAAATTAAGTGTTTAATGCTCAAAATCTTCTGGGGGAGGACCCCCAAACCCCCCCACTTTTTAAGTGCCCCATCCAAGAAAACAGTATCTGGCTTCACACACAGTTTCTGGGAGGAACATTCACTTATTAGTTAAATATAATTACTTTTCACATGGCTTTTTTGTTACCTTTGCCATGTTTTTATGACTATTATTAATAGTAACAAAAAAAAAAAAAATCAACAATATTCAGGGCAAATATGTGTTTTAAGAATCCTGTAGCTTAAAATAAATAGCTAACTATAATAAAGAGTTGTTAATGATCCTGCACTACAAGCGGCCGCAGGGGGGAAAAAAACAACAATGACTCTCTCAATTATTTCTCCCTACAGGACTCTCATGATCAACTCAAAGATAAAAACATGAATGAACACAGTGACACCAAGACAGGGATTTCCAGCGATGATGACACATTACACTTTCACTAAAACAAACACTACTCACCTTCCTCTTGTCTGCCAGTCCCTTCCTCTGTTCTCTCAGCCGGTCTCTCATATTTTCATATATTTCTAATCTGATCCACCCCTCTGTGAATCATTGTGGCTGTGGACAATCTGGTTTAGCAATGATCAGTGAGAGGCACACCAACAGAAGTCAGGGATGGGGGGTGGTTGGGGTTAACCTCCGCCTCTCTTTTATCCACCGAATATCCACACACTAGGGTCATATTATTCACCACTTCACTTCTGATACCAATTGCTGTCAGTGTAAACGTGCACAAAAGGATAAATACAGAACACATATTTATACATACTATGAGCCTTCACGCTTGTAGTACATGTCTGTTAATTAGGTCTGAAGAAAAAAAAAAAACATGGCTTCAATTTTGAAGATTAAAGCAAGGGTAGGTGTCAGTAGACAAAGAGTTAATAACTGCACTTCAAACTTTGGTATGTGATCTACAATTTGACTTGACAATTTTGATGTTTTAATTTAACACTAGACCAATTAATATTTCTGTGGACTGGACCAACTGAGAGACTCAGGCTGACTGATCTCTGAAAGCTGGATAACCGATGTTACTGTAAAGGCTTGTCTCACATTTATACCAGAAACCTTAAGGGAGGGGTTTTGTTGGAGGAATAAGTATTTGCTATATACATTCATTAGTGTCTAACACTGAAGAACCACAGCAATTCACTGAATCTCTGTTTCAGTCAAATAACCGAATTTGAAATGAAAATTTAAAGGAAACTAAAACTTCATACTGTTCCAGAGCATGATCCCATCCGGATCTGTGTAGTTACCAAATAAATGCTTCTCAGTCAAGTTAAATCAGTGGAGCCTGTGACAACATGATTAATGAACATGAAAACTGCAAAAACCATGTTAAATTTGCTACACTTTTGCCATTGCATGAAATAAAGTCACCAGCAGGTGTGAAAGCCTCATTGAACCACTGTAGTGGGCTTTTGTCAAGTTGAGTTATCCATGCTATAGTATTCTCCCAGACAGACCAGGCTAAAGGTGCCAAAGAATAGATCACATGACAGTTTATAGAAGCAACGTTGTGGTGCAAGAAACTAGTAAAGTGGCTGAACAGAAATTATTCTCCACTCTGTCACCTAATCAATTCAGGCAATTAAGAACTGTCCTGTGTACTCACAGGAGGAAACTGATAGATATAAATGGCTATAGTGAAGGTCTGCCAAGGCCACTGACCCATGGGAATCAATCTACAGATTTTAGTAATAATTCCACTGAAGCAGTTTAATTACACATTTGTTCTGTGCAGTGACAAAAGATAAGAGGGGGGCATGAATCTCACAAACAGGACTTTATTTCACTGACTGCAGTACTTCAGTACTACAGACAGACTCTCACACCTTCAACTCCATCACACAAGAACAGAACAGGAAGTTAATACAAAAAAGTAATTGGTCACCAATTTAAATCTTTTTTGTTCTTTGTGGGACTTTTCCTTCAGGCATCTAACAGGGGTTGATGTCTTACTGTTAAATGTAAGAATCTGGTATAAGGAGAATGTGGGTGATGTGACAGTGCAGTGACGTCGATTGGCTGGTCGCTTTACTCCTTGGCAGCCATGTGTGCCATCAGGTCGCAGACACGGTTGCTGTATCCAAACTCGTTGTCGTACCTGATTAAGAAATAAAAAAGGGAGTCAATATGTATACTTGGAAATTGATGAGGAACTGAAAGTAATCCATGCTGAAGGCGTACCATGAGACCAGCTTGACAAAGTGGTCGTTGAGGGCAATGCCGGCACCAGCATCAAAGATGGAGGAGTGACAGTCACCGTTGAAGTCTGTGGAGACAACCTGGCAGGACAGCGAAGAGGGGATCTCTCATTACTACTGAGCAACAAAACTGCATAAAGGCCAGTTTAAAAAAAAAAAAAAGAGAAACGCAGACCTGGTCCTCTGTGTATGCCAGAATGCCCTTCATGGGTCCGTCAGCTGCGGCCTTCACAACCTTCTTGATGTCATCGTATTTGGCCTTTTGAGAAGAACAGAGATTGTATGACCGAGACTTTTCAAAACTGTTGATGTTATTCAAAATTCTTACTGTCTGCAAATTCCATGACAAGACCAAAATCCACACTTTAATATTCTTTGACTTCCTACACTGTCTGCAACACTCATGCCAATTGGTTCCTACTGTAGCTGTAAATGCTTCAGACAAATCATGACATAGTATAAAAATATAAAAAACCAAACAAGCATTACATTCAGAAGAGGGAATTAGTGCAAGATGTAGATTGATGGGGTGCATTAATGTTTGTTTGCATGCGATACTTCCACAAAAATGCAGGCATATATAAAATGTCATTAAGTAAAAAGTGTGGATAAATAAATGTCAGTACTTAAAGAAATCAAATCAAAGTTCTTGTTATGCAGAGGTGTGTTTATATGGGGCTTGGTGGAAAGGAATATAATTCAAATATATTTATATAATAAAAATTAATGTACATTTTGTTACAATGTATATACTTGTACATTTTTTAATCCCCTTTTTCTATTTAATTCTATATCATGTCTTGTGTACAGTTAAGCACCAATACACACACCAAAGCAAACTCCTCGTATGTGAAACCTGGCGATAAAACTGATCCTGATTCTTAAAGTGTTTAGAAAAGGCTAAGCAATTTCCTGAAGCAAATCCTACTCAAACTGGAGTAAATAGTGAATTAACTGGGGACTATGTTCAGCCATAAACTGATGCAGATTTAGTGTGCTAGTTAGCATTTATGACTGAAGAACAGGTTAAGAGACTGACTCAACATAAGACAACTTTAATAGTGCCCATTAAAATGAACACTGTAGTTTACACATACTTATCTGATAAGTTTATTGTCTGGTTTGGTCTTTGGGAATTTGTCGATAGTAAGAACGTCAAACGTTACCAGATTTACAGTCATATTAAAATTGCTTCTGGTTTGTGGTTACTCACGGGTTTCTGCAGACGGACCGTCAAGTCAACCACTGACACATTGGGGGTGGGGACACGGAAGGCCATGCCGGTCAGCTTCCTGTAGAATACAGGCAAAGAATGGTGAGGTCACAAACTAAATTCACCAGATTTAATGCAAGTCATGCAAGAACATACGATACTGCAATACAAGTGTTTTTGGCACTGACCCGTTCAGCTCAGGGATGACCTTGCCAACAGCTTTGGCTGCACCAGTAGAAGCTGGGATGATGTTCTGGCTGGCACCACGGCCGTCCCTCCACAGCTTGCCAGAGGGACCGTCCACAGTCTTCTGAGTGGCGGTGATGGCATGAACTGTGCTCTGACGGACACGGAGGGGAAGAGAAAGGTTAAATATGGCTTAACGCCCCCTCTAACTTTGTAATGTCATGTTGGCCT